CACTTGATAATAAGTGACTGTCGCCGCGGGTGGACACCTGCAACTTAATAGTCCTAAGTTGCCCGAATATAAGGTGAGAGTAACGAATGCTACTGATTTGCAACATACCATTGATATGCTGAAGAAAAAGCGTTGAGGCTCTGGAGGAGTAAGTATGTCATACTTTTATACCACCACTTTACGCCAGCTGTGTTTGTGTCTCTCCACGTTTTAGTTATTAAGTACCTTTGAATCGAACTAAGGGAATCCGGCATAGGGACTTGCACACAATATACCCACTTTCAAATGCCAATTAACGTACGAGGCCGTACACTTATATAAAACAAATAACGAGGAAACGATAATACGTATAGATAGAAATTTAGAAGCCTTTTTATCCAAGAAATCACACAACACACACGGCATATACCCACGAGTAGTTGACTTGTCACACAATCACAAACCACATTCTCTACTCATATGGTTAATAACTCTTAAAAAATGTGCCTGAATAACAAGCAGATATTATATAATACTGAGTAAATCTAAATTTTAATAGTCATTGTATAAGATAAAGTATTCATCTCTTATAGCCCCCACTGAGCCCATTGAACTTAAACAAAATGCGTGTTGCAAAAAAAACAATTCACAAAAAAAGAAATCGCAGATACACTGGCCATTAACTTTTTTTGGTAAAAAAACATTTCGATATAACGGGACCGACTAAATTATTGCGTATAATCTTTTGCCTTGGTTTTTTGTTTTTGCGTTTATAAAAAACGCTTTGTTCCCACACTATTTTATGATTTGATTCAAAAAGGTTGTGCTAAGTGCTTTTATCTTTGTGCTACCTTAACCTACCTACCACGTTGATTTATGAGCATGCAAAATAAAAGAAAACGCGAAAAAAAGTATATTGCGAATTAGAACAATTCTAAGGTAACGTAAGCTTTGGTACGTGGGGAGATAGGGCATCACCCCTACCGTTGTAGTAAGTGCAAATAACTTTTTAATTTAAAAGCACTGTTACTGTCATCATGAGGAAATCTTTTCTTAAAATATAATATATTGATCGTTACACGCAAATTAAAATAAATATTATGAATAGGTCGCGCGCAGATCCCACGGCATGGCACAGAGAATGCACAAGTCACAGCACCTGTGTCCCTTGCCGATTCAATAAAAACGGTCCACAGAATATTAGAAGATAACAAGTGTCATTCAAATACAGAAGTGGCTGCCAAATATTAAGTTATCGGCAAGAACAAAATAAAGATCTTTATTAAAAGGTAAACTTCAATTATTTTTAGATAAAATACATAGATATTGCATCCATTCATTTTTTAACCACTCTTCCTTTAATTAAAAACATAATTAGTATGTGTACATATTGAAGGAGTATGCGAAAAAGTGTAAAAAAAAAATAAGACGAAATGAGAGGCCAGCAATAGTCCACATTATCCATACGCATTAAAAATACGCGAAATGCAAATAAAGTTCACTTTACCCTTACCTATTCTTAAGTTTAAATAGAGGAATATGTACCCATTTCAAAACTTTGGTATTGTATTATCGAGAAAATGGGCCCGCCTTTTAGTCATTAAATTATGTCTTATACCGAATTCATAAAGCTGTGAATATACATTCAACACATGACATACAAAACCATAAAAATCTCCTAATTAATACGAATACATCTGTATACACACTACGCATAGTACGCATCTTCAAGAGTTTCGATTTGAGTAATAATAAAACATGAATTCGAAATTCAAACTCCTTTCAAAATCGAGATGCGTTTTTTATGTAAGGCGAATAAACTTTATTAGGAAAGTGGGATAAAGGTTTGATACAAAAAAACGCAACATTGTAAAAGGTCGCCTTGTGTCCCTTCACAAAAACCATAGCGTTATCGTAGGCGTCCGTTCATTTGTATTTTTTAAAGCTTTGATCGAAGTGTGAGGCAGGTAGAAGAGTACACTCGCAAACATTTAGGTAGGTACTTTATTCCATAGATCATTTAATTTAACACCGTAATTATATTGCGTGTGATTAAAGGGAGAAATTCGACGAAAAGAATCATTAAAATTATTACAATACTCATACTTGGCTCGAAAAACTTACAGAACATACATACAAATATTGTTATTGCTTTGCATACAGAGCAATAACAATATTTTGCCAAATAATTTCGCTAAATTGACCACATTACATTGCCCTTTTCATTTGGTATGTATTTCTTCAATATTGCTCAAAATGAATTTTAAATTCTTAATTTTAAATAAATTTTGAGTAATATTAAAAAATTTTGAAGGATTATAAAATTTACAGTTAACTTAGACCCTTAATACTGAGTCACTGGCAGGTAAAACTTTGCTGCGTTGATTTTCGGTCAAGGTGGAAATAACCGAGATTTTGTTCTATGTAGTCTATTACTCTGCTTGCGCCTATAATTTGCAGAAGTGACAGTGATGGAACGGCTAGAAAACTACGGTGGAAAGAAGGACTAACAGACATCTGACTGATTCTCGGAAGTGATACAGCTTTCTGAAGGCCAATTCTCGTAATAAAAATTCGTTCAACATTTAGTTTCGATCTTCGGAATTTTTATTACAGGAATTACTAACTAATTTAACACTAATTTAAGAATAATTTACTGACTTTTTAACATAAAGCATGTGATGCCACAATGCACTAGAACTAAAACATTATTTTTTGACGATTAAGATAAAGATAATATATTTCGATACTTACTCTCCATACACTACCGATATGACCTATTTAACTTCTGGTAGGGTATAGATGGTAATTTTATCTGTCTAGGTAAGATTTAAAATATCAATTAAAACCTTAAAATCAAAGAGAATATGAATGTACAAACAGTGGCACTGCATTAAACTGCTTCTGTTCTGTTCTATCTGCTGAGAACAATATCAAGTAGCGTCCTCTATTTTACGCCACCGAAATCAAGATGTTGTTTTACTCACCATCTTTTCTACGAATTGGATATTCAAGAAGTGTAATAATATAATTTTGTTCACGTTGAAATATTCTGTGTAAAACAAATGTTTCTATAAAGGATGCCTCGGTAAGAGTGCACTTTTTAAATTTAGACTCATTTTTTTTCGTGCAAGTGGCAACTCTGAAATTCGACAGCTGAGCTTGCAGCTTATGTTTCGAAAGGAGAAACGGTTTCCAAAAAACAACACGTTATAATTGTGAAAACTCGTTACAAAAATGGTGAAAGTTACGCTGAAATCCCTCGCAAACTTCGCCAAATTTTCAGTCGAAGAGTGGTCAAAAAATTTGAAGAAACTGGGTCGATTATAAATATTAAGAATCCTTTGCCGGTCGGTCTTTTAAAAACATTGCTGCTGTAAACGCGTGTCGACAAAAACCCGAAAAAATCAATTCGCCATCGTTCTCAGCAACTTTCACGAACCACTACGCAGCGAATTTTGACTCAAGACCCCCACCTTCATGCGTATAAGATTCAGCTAACTCAGGAACTTAAACCAGCAGACCATAAAAAGCGCCGGCAATTCGTTCAATGGGTAATGGAGGAAAGTGAAGTCGATGCCAATTTTTCGAAAAAAGTCATCTTCTCCGATGAAGCGCATTTCCATCTGAATGGCTGCGTGAATACACAAAATTGTCGAATTTGGGGCTCAGAAAATCCTCATGCAATCCATGAAAACAAATGCACCCACAACGAGCAATTATCTGGTGCTAATTTTGGTCAGGCGGCGTGCTAGGGTATTACTTTTTTGAAGATGAGGGCGAAATTGTAGTGGCTGTAAACGGCATTCGTTATAGGAATATAATAGAACTCTTGTGTTCTTGTGGCGCCACCAAGTAGGACGGTGCCACCTTTTTTTTTTTTTTTTTTTTTTTTTTTCCTGCGGAAATCCCCTCGGATACCACCTGTCGGTGGCATGTCGGACTCGAACCGACTAAAACCGCACGCCTTCGCCGGGTACTAATAGCCGGGGAACCAGGTATACCCTAGAAAGGAAGGCCCTGGTGCCCCGACATACCTCGGGTCATCTACAGACGAGTAGACGACCCCCGCCCCGTGTGGGAACCCCATGTTCCCTGTGCTCCCTGGAAGCGAGCGCGCTTCGCAACGCGCTCGCCGCCACCCCGGCCTGCTTCTGCTAGGCCCCCCCAGGCCTGCGCTTATGGAGGACGGAGGTCGTTCTGCGACCTCCGGCGCCTGAGTCGCCCGCGCTGCCTGGCCGGGAGAGTTCTAAACCTCTCCCGGCCCCGCTCCGCCGTCTCCTTCGCGAGCATAACTTGCTCGCAGAAGGAGACGGCAGAGTTCTACGCACTCTCGCTCCGCAGGACGGTGCCACCTACCACATCGCTCATGAAACAATCGACGTATTGCAGCAACGATTTTCAGAACACATTATCACACGAAATTCTGATGTAACTGGCCAACAAGATAGTGCGATTTAACGCCGTGCGATTTTTTTTTGGAGTTTTGTGAAATCTCTGGTTTATGCGAATAAACCAGAAACAATTCCTGATCTCAAATAGAGATACAGTCACATCTCTGTGTAAAAGTCATGGAAAATTTCATGAAAAGAGTAATGGCCTGTCATCAGAGCCGTAGGGGCCATTTGCCGGATATTTTATTCCATACTTAATCGAAACATGTTTTCTTTACAATCCAATAAAAATATCACAACTCTTTCATACAATACGTGTTTTTATTTTATAATGAAAAAGTGCAGTCTTACTGAGACCTTTATAACTGACCATCTCAGGTTCTTGTTTTTCGTTTCTATAAGATGCGTTCAATGAAATGTTGAAAAAAAAAATTTAATTTTTTGTCAAACTGAAACTGACATTTCTTTTGACGTATGAGAGTTCCAGCTGATTTAAATAAAGTTTTTATTCAAGTAAATTCAGTACCAAGATAACTATAAAGGGATTTCACTGTAAAAATATAATAACTTGTGTTATTTTATCAGATTAACAGTAATTGCTTAAAATTGACCTGATCGTTTCATAACATGGAATATACTGCGAAGGTAAACTTTGTTGTAGTTTCTTAATATTTAGTAGAACTAAATGAATATTAATTAAATTTTTTTAATAGAAATTTCCAGATTTGAAAAACGATAGATTGCTTCGCGCCGCACTTGGTCAAGAGGTTGATAAAGTGCCAGTATGGGTAATGCGACAAGCCGGTAGATATTTACCGGAGTTTCAAGAGGTTAGAGCGAAACACGACTTTTTTACAGTTTGTAGGACACCCGAGCTAGCTTGTGAAGTAACTTTGCAACCATTGCGAAGATATCCACATTTGGATGCTTCAATTATATTTAGTGATATTCTGGTTATACCACAAGCTTTGGGAATGACTGTGGAAATGCATCCTGGAAAGGTGAGTAGAAACTTATGAAAATTGCATTGATAGCATGACTTGCAAATTTTAAGATAATTGCTTAAGTTAGAACAAAAAACCATTTTGAAAAATATTGATTATGCATTGATTGTAAAAACCAATGATCTTGGCAATCAAAAGTATATTATTATTTTTCCAGGGGCCAGTCTTCCCACAACCACTTCATGATCCATCAGAAATTGATCAATTGCAAGAAGAAGGAGCTGTATCTAGACTGTTGTATGTTGGTAAAGCTATTACATTGACAAGGCATAAAATTGAAGGCAAGGTGCCTTTAATAGGTTTTACAGGAGCCCCAGTGAGTACTTAAACAACAAAATAAATTCTGTCTAATATTGCACAAAGGTGTGAATTTTTGCATAGTCCGTGTAGTGACAGATTAAGAATCTGAAGTGTCACCACCCCTATTCAACCCATGCATGTTTTAGCAAACTACACAGGACAACAGCACTTCAAAGAGAATGAAAATTTCACACAAACCCATATGTCTGGCCAGCATGTTATAGTGGGCCAATAACTCCTTTCAGGAGAGGCTTATGTGCAGCAGTATATTATTAGAGGCTGTTGGTGATGATGATAATTGCACAAAATTTCTATTTTATTTATAATTGAGATTTTGGAAAGCATAAGTACTTGTATTGTAACTATAACAGGTAATTAAATATTTGCAGTTTACCTTAATGGGATACATGATTGAAGGTGGAGGAAGCCCAACTATGTCAAAAACTAAGGAATGGTTAAGTAAATTCCCTAAAGATGTTCACAAACTTCTCAGATTACTAACTAACGTCATTATCGACTATTTAGTGATGCAGGTCTGGTATATTTATTTATTTATTTTAATTCTTAATGCTCAAGTATGAGTTGTAGAATGGCGGACTTAATGCCACAGGTATTTTCTCCCAGTCTACCTTAGGGTGGTACTAAAATGTGTGACTAGGTGCACTAAACAATGATATGTAAAGTAAAAGAAAATTATTGATAAGTTAGACAGAAACAATGCGATAAATATACAAACATACACATACATAAATACTTACATAGCCACAAACATGCATAAACCTAAACTCCACTCCACAACTGTTACTGATACATATTTTACGGGATAAGCAGCACGCCTCTGGAATCCGTTACCGGAAGCTACGGCTACGGATATATCATTATTGCGGATTATTCGTTAGTTTCGGTTACGAATATTAGATTGAAGTAAAATATAAACACAAATAGTATGTAATAATTTGCATATTTTTATAGGTTTTATCTAGCCTAGGCTTCTGAATCTACATTAACTTGATAAAAAAATGTCCAAATGAAACCCGACTTTGGTCGCATTTTGTCTATAGAAAGTCTTTCTTAAGTTCAACTCTTAAATAAAAAACTAACTACTTATGAAAGAGGTTATTTTATGAATAGAAATAACAAACCAACTCACTTGAAACAAGATTCACTTGGCGCGCGAGCGTTGAAACAAAAACCTGTCGAAACATGTCGTTTTATTTAGACTCCACCCGTATACGAAACTATCAGACTTGTGAAACGGATACGGTTACGGATATATTTTTATTTCGGATATCCGATAGTTTCGGTTACGGTTACGGAGCTCTATAACATCTCTGATCTAAAGGTTGTCTGGAAGAGATCGGAGACTGCAATAAGGCCGCCCATTACATCACTGTTTTTCTTTGTATGTGTCCTAATTATGGTGTGCAATAAAGAGTACCTATCTATCAATCTATCTAAAATGAATGACTATGCCGTTAAAGGTAATGGGTTGCAGTTTACCTTGGTCTAACCTTCCAATTATATGTTGACTGCCAATGAGTATATATTATGGCTTTTTGTAAATATTTTTTGCATTTCCTATAGAACAGTATGAATAAATCATGTTTTTTATGCCATATAGCTATTGCAGTGTCATTATAGTAATACTACTATGTTCTCATTTAAACTATTGTCAAATATTATGTATATAAATTAATCATGGTTATTTGATTACTGTACTTAATAAGCTAAATATCATTTGTGTGTTGTGTTTGTAGAATGAATCAAGTGTTTCCCTTTTATAGGTTGAGAGTGGTGCACAGCTATTGCAAGTTTTTGAATCCAGTGCTGATCACCTAACAAGGGAACAGTTCATTGAGTTTTCTGCTCCATACCTAAAAGATATTAGGAGTGGAGTTAAGGAATCACTTAACAAAGAATCATTAGAACAAGTCCCAATGGTATGTAAAAGTATAATATATTATTATTTGAGAGAAAACATACTATTCTAACAAACTCGGCTTACCAGAAATGCATATAAAACTAGATTTTTTTTTTTTCATTTAAATTATACTCGTGAATTCATGCGCTGAATGTTGTTGTTATTTAAGAGTGTTGCCACGCACGAGTGTAATTTTGTTCTTTGTCTGTAATTGATGAGCCTGTTACTTTAATGTTACTGACTGCTAAGCCACAAGTTGTGGATTCAAGCCTCCACTTAGGACATATATTTGAGTGATGAGCATGTTCTGTGTTTGGGTGGAAATTACCAATATATATATATATAATTACCTATATGTATATATAATAATATATACATATAGGTAATATATGTATATAATATACCTATATGTATATATAATAATATATACATATAGGTAATATTATAAGATTCCTGTAGACTGTCTCGTTTGATGTGTGATGTTTTTATTACTGAATATGTATAAAATTTTCTTCACAGACTGTGTTTGCTAAAGGTGGAGGTCAGTCATTGGATATACAATCTAATTTAGGATATGAAACTATTGGCCTAGATTGGACTGTTGATCCAGTTGAGGCTAGGAAGATTGTCGGTGAGAACATTACACTGCAGGGAAATCTTGATCCACAAGACTTGTATAAAAGTCCAGTAAGTATATTTATGTACCTCTTTACCCACTTTTTGTTTCCCTAAAATCAAGTTTAACTAGAAATGCTGTTTTTTTTCATTAACAGGAAGAAATAAAGAAGTTGACAACTGAAATGGCACAAAAGTTTGGCAAACACAGATACATTTGTAATTTGGGTCATGGAATCACTCCAAAAACGCCTTTGGAGAGTATGACAGCTTTTACAGAGGCTATTCATGAGGCTTTATAATTTTTATTTTTGTCCTTTATATTTAATTTAAGATAACACAAATATGTTAGATTTGCCTTTCATATTTAGTTGTTTCAAATAACCATAGAGCCCATATTTGATTTGTTAAACAAATATATCAGTATGCACCTTCAGAATGACAAGCTAAACTATACAGAAAAACGACGATCAACCATAATTTACTAAGAATACAGTATAGTTTTTCAAATCATAAACAATGTTCATAGAGTAAAAACTGCAATTTAAAAAGAATGTAATTCTTCATTAGGAAAATTGCCTATGATGGTTCATTCTTTCAGTTTAAAATAAATTTAAATTGAGTACACTTTACATTTTATACTCCTTTCACACATAGATAAGATATAAATGTGGAGATCATATGGAAGGCTGGTTAAATGTTGTAATTGTTATTTTTTACTTTAGTTATATTTTGTATTATGTTATTTAATAAAATGTATATGGGAATAAAGCTATGGTAAAATTATAACAGTGTTTAATTACATATTTATTATAGCATTGTACAAGTATTAATTAAATAAGAGTGAATTTATTATTACATTGAGTAAGTAGTCTTTGAATTCTGGCTTGTAGCTGGCATATCTTCATCATGGCTTCCTACAGATTTCTTGACATACTGTGAAAAATATACATATTTAAGAAAAATAAACATCCCATAAAGCAGCATTTTGAGCCGTGAGTCATACATACGAGGCATGCCTTTTAAGTTTTGTCGTTTGAATAAAAAACACAACTACTTGTAACTACTTTTTATTGTTTTTCAAAGTATTCACCACGTAGCTTAATACACTTTTCCGTTCGCTCAAACCAGTTATTATAATATTTATTCCACTCTAAAGTGGGGGTGTTCAAAATGGCTGACTTGAAAGCGTCGACCGCTTCTTCACCGGACTGGAACCTTTGACCACGAAGACTTTTCTTAATTTTAGGAAATGTAAAGAAATCTTTAGGGCTTAGGTCAGGACTGTATGGAGCGTCCGGCACCTCTACGAGGTGGGCCCCGATCTGTCGGACGCCCAATTTGGTTTTCGGGCGGGGCGTTCGACAGTCGACGCCGTGTTGCGCCTGAGGGCCGTGACCGAAGAGGCTGTGAGCTGTGGCGGCGTGCTGTTGGCGGTGTCATTAGACATCGCCAACGCATTCAATAGTCTGCCATTCAGCTGCATCAGGGAAGCACTCCACTATCATGGGGTGCCAAAGTACCTGAGGCGGCTAGTGGCAGACTATTTAGAGGAGCGTACCGTCGTGTACGAGGACCGAGAGGGTAATTTGAGGTGTCGGCCCATTTCGTGCGGTGTTCCACAGGGGTCTGTTCTTGGGCCCCTCTTGTGGAACATAGGGTACGACTGGGCCCTTCGCGCCGATTTCCCCCCCGGGCTGGGTGTAATCTGTTACGCAGACGATACCCTGGTGACAGCCCGGGGGGCAAACTTCCAAGAGGCGGCGCGCCTGGCCACGGGGGGAGTCTCCCTGGTGGTCGGGCGCATTGAGGCGCTGGGCTTACGGGTGGCCCTAGATAAGACGGAGGCCCTGTTATTTCATGGGCCCCGTCGTGGTCCACCCCCTGGCGCCTCAATCGTGGTCAACTCGGTCCTCGTACCGGTTCGGGCCCAGATGAAATATCTGGGCCTGATCCTCGACGGGAGGTGGCTCTTCGACGAGCACTTCCGACAGCTTGCTCCAAAGCTGGTCGGCGCTGCGTCTGCCCTAGGGCGACTTTTGCCCAATTTGGGTGGACCCAGCGTCGCGACAAGACGGCTGTACACGGGGGTTGTCCGGTCAATGGCACTGTACGGTGCACCGGTGTGGGCGGCGGCTCTGACCGCCCAGAATAGGGCACGCCTCTGGCGCCCTCAGAGGGTAATGGCGGTCAGAGCCATACGCGGTTACCGCACCGTTTCGACGGAGGTGGCATGCGCGTTGGCCGGAACTCCCCCGTGGGATTTGGAGGCGGAAGTGCTCGCCGAAGTTTATCGGCGAGTGGCTGACTCCCGGGCGGAGAGCGGATTTCGCCCTCCGCCCGAGGATGTGCGCGAGTGGCGCGAAGCCGCTCGCCGAGCCACGATGGCTCGTTGGTCGTTCCGGCTGGAGACTCCACGCGCTGGCTTCGCCGCCGTGGAGGCTCTCCAGCCGGTCATCGCCGAGTGGGCAGGGCGGCAGCACGGGACCCTTTCCTTCCGGCTGACGCAGGTGCTTTCCGGGCACGGTTGCTTCGGAAAGTACCTGCACTCGGTCGCTAGGAGGGAACTGAGTCCCGCCTGCCACCACTGCGACTGCAGTGAGGACTCGGCCCATCACACGCTGGCGGTCTGCCCCGCATGGGCGACGCAGCGCCGGGCCCTCACTGCAGTCATCGGAGTGGATCTCTCGCTACCGGCCGAAGTACGCTCCATGGCCGGTAGCGACAGTTGTTTTACCGCGGTCGCAACCTTCTGCGAGGAAGTAATCTCGCGGAAGGAGGCGGCGGAGAAGGCCCAGGAGGACGACCTCCACTCGGACCCGATCCGCCGCCGGCGAACCGGGCGGCGGAGGCGCGCCTATCACCGCCTCATGCCGCCCTGAGTGTGGCCGCGGGTGGACGGGGTGCGTTTCCCCTCCACCCGCATTAGTTTGGCCAGCCGCGAGGGGGCGGCGTCCGCGTGTGCCGGACGTCGCCTAAAGAGAGGAAAATTTTGAGACGGGGCCCGCAACAGGAGCGGGCCGGCGCTAGGAGGGGTCCGGATGTCTTAATAACAGCTGTTCCCGGATCCCTCCTGTTACAGGCGCAGAGTGGCACACCGTGTGGTTTTAGTCGGTCCGAGTCCGACACACCACCCCGCCGCAAACCCCGGTGGGGTGACGGTCCGAGGGGATTTCCACAAGTTAAAAAAAAAAAAAAAAGGACTGTATGGAGGATGGTCAAGAATTTCTACTACTAATTTAATTTTTCCTGCTTCAAATACTCAATCGTTTGACGAGCGCTGTTTGAGTTTGCGTTGTCGTGGTGCAAGATGATGCGTCGCTTTGAGTTAGATTTTCGAAGTTCGGTGGTAAACAAACTGTGGTATACCACTCTGCGTTAACCGTTCTACGATCTTCAAGTGTAATAGTCGCAACATGGCCGGTTTTTCCAACGAACGTGGCCACAATCTTCTTTGAAATGCTTCGAGAACGAACAACTTTAGTCGGCTTTGGCTGGTCTTGAAAGACCCAGATTGTAGATTGTTGTTTAGAATCAGGATCGTAGGCATAGATCCAAGATTCGTCACCACTGGTGATATCGTAGACGTGATTTGCCTCTCCTCGGTTGAACCTTTGCAGAGTTTTCTTACACCATCTGACACGGGCCGCCTTGTGATCGTCGGAAAACAGATGCGCTATCCAACGGCAAACTAGCTTTCTCACACCAAACGCTTCATGCAAGATCTTCTAAATGGTTGTCCCTGGGATGCCTAATAGAGCCTCTATCTCTCGATACGTCACATGACGATCTTCGAGAATTAGTTGTCTCACAGCAATTATGTTATCTTCAGTGAAGGCGGATTTTGGGCGTCCTTCGAGAGATTTGTCACTAACACTATTATGTCCACGCTGGAATTCTAAATACCAGCGTTCGACAGTCCGCAGACATGGGGCTTCATCACCAAACACAGATGTTAGCTCTTCAAAACACTGAAGCCGTGTCAGGCCTCTTCTAAAGTTGTAGAAAATTATTGCACAAACATTTTCCTTAGAAAGATTCATTTTCATACGTAACTTGACAGATTCCAATTGACGCTGTGACTAAACAATAACATTAATCCTAATACTTTTAATTGTTTTGAGATTCAAAATTTAAACACATTCGAATTTAGAACAGTTCCAAATTCAAAATGGCCCGGAAATATGGAAAGGACAGAACTTAAAAGGCATGCCTAGTATCTTGGGTAGGTTTTGCAAGCAGAGAATGGCTTTTGTGTTCATAGGGTTTACATGTAGAAGGCAGATAAATCCCAGAAATAATATCACTAATAATAATTACACCATTCATTATGACGATTATCGCCTCCACATCCACACACAAGATTTTATCAGTTGATGTTGGCCTTTAAAGTTAATTGAATTAAACAATTATTACTACCTGTGGGTTAACTTGAATTTGTTCATCCATCTCTTGAATATATTGGTGTAGTTTCGTACAAATTGCCATTTGTTGTTCTAGCACACACAATGTTTCAGGCGATGCATACTTTTCAGGGCTATCCAGAAACACCACCATTCCATCTTTCTGGTTTATCATTGCGTAAATTTCGCCTTCTTCAATCTGTCAAAATATTAAATATGAACTATATCAATAAGACTAATTTAAGCAATGATTTAGCTTTTGATGGAAAAACATGATCCAAACTAATGTTTGGATCATGTTTTTCCATCAAACTAATGTTGTCCACAAAACTAATGTTTGGATCATGTTTTTCCATCAAAAGCTAAACATATAAACGAATATAAATTAAACAAACCATATTGAGTATGTAACTCTCCGCTTGTGCAGGGCCTGACAGCTGTACACGAGCCGCGACGTCACTCAGAGATAGCGTTAAGAATGTCTTTGTAAGCCTTTGAATGTTCTTCTTGTACATTGAACTTAACACCTGCAAGTAAGAGGGAAGTCATTTTATAATTGTCTTCATGCAATTTATACATAACTAAATAGGGTGACCCAAGACCACATGAAGACAAAAACTATTTTTTCGGACTGCTAAAGTATGTCAGTTATTAAAGGAGTATAACTCTCTAAGAGTAGCTTTTGCATTTGTATTTGAGTTCTCAGTACGGTTGATTCTGTCAAATGTATTTTACTAACTTACAAACTATAAGCAATTTCTGTGCCAAATTTCGAAGAGAGGGTTGTTCAGAAAACGTGCGTTTGTGCTAAATGTTTAATTATTAATTAAATTAACAGTAAAAAAGTTGAATATTGTTACCTGATTGACTAAACCCATATTTTTATCTCGAACAAATATCTCGCGGTGCTTTACGGCAGCGTGAGGAGAAGTGGCCAATTCATAATAAGCTGCTGACAATGGCTTTAGAAAACGGCACACCACTTGTGAGGTGTATTTCGGCATTGGTAATACCTGGAAGGCAAAGAATATTAAGAGGCCATCCATGTATGTATTACCTTACACATATTAATGAACGTAAATGACTGTAAATAATAACTACACAGACGTGTGAGAACACACGGCAGTAATGAAGTAATTATGGGTAACATTATTTGACAAGACACATGATCTAAAGTATCAAAACACAATACATTAAAAAAATCTTCGAAGGTACCATGTATATTCACAAGATGTTTTTTGGTAAAATCTGTTTATTAATCATTTCTAGATGTAAAATTGCAAAGTATGATAAGTCAAATAAGGCCCTGATGGAGAAAATAGGTAACGATTTTTTTTTGTAGAGGAATGAAAATAAATTTAGAATTATCAAAAATTCAATTATATGGGAAAATAATATTAGATCATGCACACATGCTATTCAAAATAAAATGCAGTGAGTCTTCGATTCTCTGTGAATGGACTACTATGGTCGTATATTAAATCAATAAATTGTTACATTTAAAATAATATTAATTTCCACCCACCTTTCCATGCAGAATAAATGTCACTAAAATGTATTTTTTGTAAGCTTCCAACATAATATGTGAAACAACCAATGCAGGGACAGTTACAACTACTTCAAAGAAGTAGAGAGCTCTTTCATAGTTCTTCATTGCAGTGTAGATCATACCTCCATAGTAGTAATAGAGGAGAAAATGTTTAGAATCATTGTTGCCACCTAGCTAAAACATATGGAAATAGTTTTGTTTAAATTATTTTTAAACAGGCAGACAGAAAAGATTTGTTGTTTGGGATGCAGTTAGTATACTATAATTTGTTAATGTTATCTAATGTGTTCATCGACACAATAAGAAGAAGAAGTTAGTATATTGGATAGAGCTACAACCTGTACTTTGTTACAACAGTTCTACATTTTCTTATAAAATTTAGAATATTAATGATTTTTTTTTTAATTTCATTGAAATTACATTATAATCTATTGCCAATCTATTCATCTTAAGAAATATTGAAATTATATTTGTATAACAGATTAGATTATGTTAAATTATTGGTATAACAGATTCATTTTTTACTCTGAATATGTACACTGTACAAGTGACATCACTAGTATTGTGGGTATTCACACAATGCAAGAAGTGCTATTTAACTATATTTAACCTTTGACTGTACAATGTGACATATCAAAGGTTAAAAGTTCAATCACCTTATTTTAAAAACAGCAATACCTCCCTTAAATACACTTACCTCAGAACCTATCCCAGTAATATCTGTATCCAAGAATTCTAAAGCTGGCTTCATACATTTGGAGAGTAAGCAAAGTTGACATAAATCTGCATGAATTGAGGTGAGGTGAGAATCAAATAACTGGATCTTTCTAATTGCTTTCTTTAGAATTTCTATGCCTCTGATTGGTTGTTTTATTTCAATAAGATAATTTGTAAGTTGGTGACATAATTCTGTGTCTGAAAGGGATAAAAATATAATTAGTAATGTTTATTTGCCATCAGAGTGCTAACTCTGACTGAACATATATTCTGATATTGAAGATATCTATTTAACAGAATTACATTTTTACAAATTACATTGATCTTTTTTCTTAACATTTGCTCCATATTTTAACTAACTTAAAAAAAGGAGGAAGTTCACAATTTGGTCATATTTTTCTTTATTCTTATTAAGTTTAACACATTAACTTTAATTTTATTACTATTTATTATTATTTGGGTTGTTATACTAAACATTCAAAGTGTAAATTCAAAAATATAATTTAAAAAGGTTGTGTATTATGGATACATACATAATTCTGGTGAGAACCGCACTTGTTCTCCATTGCAGTTTGTTATGAAATCATGGATTTGTTGATACATCGTAGACTTATCAACATCAGTAGCTCCCTAAAATAATACAAACAAATATATATTTACTGCCATGCAATGATTGCTAGATAAGTTATTAGTTTTAGAATTAACTACTTTACACACATTATTTACAGGGATTATTCAATAAGGATTCCAAAATAGTTTGACACTTGTGAGATTATTTCTCAAATAGTGGTCTATTTTTGCAGACATCCAGATTTAAACAAATTTTTCATTTTTTCAAAAAGGGGTCCAGGCTTTCAAGGTCGTAACTTTAGGATTCTAGTTTTTATGAGAAGTTACTTCACGAAGTGTGTTGTGTAAGTGACAACAGCATTGTCAATACAACAATATAAAGATACAAGCCAAATACCTGTTGAACAGTAAATTTTGCAACAAGTACTGCTAAGACACCCAGAGAATGCTGTTGAATATCAAGGGTTTCGAGGACTGTACTAAGGTGTGCACTGTTGCGTTGTAATACTTCGTCTGACTTGGCAATGACATCACATAGCTCACGGAAAGATCCTACAATGAACAAATTAAATATTAAGATTTCATTTACATAAAATTACAAAGCTCTTTAGCTAATCAAATCATAAAAGACTTGCCTGATGCCGACATAGTCCTGACATTGTTTACAAATTGTTCTAAAGGTGAAGCCATAGCGCTTATCCTCTATATTACAAACCAATATCTTCTTTTGAAAACTGTGGTATAAGTATAATATAGTAGTATATTTAATATTACCGCTGGACTTTTAATCAACTTGATATATCAAACACCTTTTGAATTTTCACCGCAACACAAATGTGCAAATGTACCACTGACAACTAAATCTTAAAAATAGAGTTGTGTAGCTCCTGAATGAGTGATATAAAAGATATATATCATTCACGACGATAAAATGTATCACTCACTCACACTAGCTCCGAATATATCAGTAACTCAGTACTAGCTCACTAGATCATTAGATCACTAGCTCAACGACGCCGATCTTTGTTTCATGAGCGAGTGAGACTAAAGATAAATGAGTGAGATAGATGATGGTTGAGTTCACGCAAGTTTCTTTATGCAAAATGTACATTATTTCTATAGGATCAAAGTTTAATATTACTTAAGAATTAAGCCTGCCAAGTACAAGGAAAATCAAATTATGTACGATTTCTATTATACAACCTAAAAAAAGTACAAGAAATAATTTCTTTTTTTAAATATTATATAAAAGGGTGTTAATAATTATGTAATCTTATCAAAATGAATAAATTTTATTAAAAAAAAAAGGTTAAGAATGTAGTTTCAAAAACTGAAATTAGGTTAATATGAAAATAAAGAAAGGTTTGTATGGCGAGAGAGGCTTAAAGTGGCTTAAAGGCTTAGATGAAGAAATGAATTAATTGAGAGACCAATCAATTGAATCGGATCAATGAGCTAGTGAGCTAAATGAGTTGGTGAGCTAAATGAGTTAGTGAGCTAAATGAGCTAGTGAGCTAGATGAGTGATATATATCTTTAGAGCGAAATGATATGTATCAATCTTTTCAGCTCAGTGATACATTTTGCGCATCACTACTTAAAAATCACAAAAATGACATTTGATGGGGTACATTTGTCAGTGGTGTACCGGTGTTGCAAAATCTTTAAATCTTTGGTCATCATCATTAACCATTAACAGGTCATCATCATTAAGCTTTAACCAACTTGGTTAAAGCTAATTTTTGTTTCTAATGGTTTTTACTTTGTTCTCTTGTATACAAGTACATACTATCAAAAATAACTATTCTTCAGTACGAAAATTAATTTCATTTTACTGTATTACCGAGGTGAGATATGTTACACATTACATGCGATTAGTCTAACCCTGGCTCGTTTTTTTTTACAAATTTGCCCACAGGTTCGCTTTCATTGTCGTGAATTCAACAAGAAGTTTAGAAAAACAATTCCACTTGACTAGTCAATATGTCAGGTTATTCAATAGTTCAACATAGTCCTTTTTCTGACAGAGATTTTTAGTACCCGTACATCACAACATCACTAGTCACACTTGTGTCAAATGTGTCAATTGACTGTCCAATACGTCAACTAAAAAAAAACAATTCTTTTTCAAGGCGATCTCTAATAATAGAATAATAAATATATGTAAAAATTGGAAGCAACTGAAAGAAGAATGGCTATTTTACATAGAGCCTTGTTTACGTGGTTCATATTTTTGGTTTTCCTAATCCTTCTATGTCTTCGCCTCGAGTCAAGAACCCATTGGAATTGGTTTATAGTTTTTATACCTATGTGGGTTTATGATAGTATTTTATTAATATACGTGTTATTTCATATGGTTTCACATTGTAGAAATGGTATTGAACGATTTAGAGGAACAATCAATAAAAATGTGTGGTATATAGCTGCAATAGGATTAAAAATGGCAGCCCAGATTATTATTTGCATCAAATTGGAATATACAAGCTCTAGGGTGACTTTACCTATTTATGTCGTCATGACCCCTATATGGATGTTGTTGCCTGTATTGTGTGTTGAAGTATTTATGCATTTAATTAAGCATTCCAGTGGAAGCAGTCGATATTAGTAAATCATTAACAAACAGTTTACTTCTAAGATGTGCTTAAAATGAAGTGAATTGAAATAGTAAGATGTGACAGTGTAATCATAACAGCATAGATATATTTAAACTTGGCACAGGTTCATTGTGACTGTGTTTGAAGTTTCAACATGTAAAATTATTAGTTCCTGTGTTGGGTTCTTCGATGATATAACATTTTTATCAAAGGTTACTGATAAATATAAATAACAATGCATTTATTACGTGAAAGTGTTCCTGAAATTAAGAGTTTGATGGTTAAGGAAGTACCAAAAGGAAATACTACTGTCTTGAATTGCCTTAGTAATGATTTGGACCATAACTTTATGTTTTGGCTGTTCAATGGAACTGATGTGATTGGTCCTGGCAATCCTTACAATCAACAAAAATATAAGTATGAGGTACTATCTGGCAACCTGCATATTTATGTAAGTATTATTATTAATATTGAAGGTCAAGGTTAAATAATTTCACTTCCATCAGTTGTGAAAATAAAATGTTTGTTTTTATAAAATTTAATTGACTTGCGCTATTTTGTTACATGCCTGTCTTTCTATCTAATAGTGTCCTATCCATATATTTTGGAGTAGACTGAGATGTTGGTGCTTCATAATCCGCCACACCTCTAAACTATAAGGGTGTGACTGGACAGGTCTTCCAGATTTTCTCGGGGACTTCCAACAATTCACTTGTAACTCACATGACAGTGATGTTGGGATTGATCCTTTAAATTACTCACAGGGTGTCCGTTACCCCAGCAAAATAAAGTCGAAAATGGTCATTTAAACGTTATAGATAATTAGTTGCTCCCCTTCTGTAATTGTTAGGCACATTTTTAAATTTGTTTCACTTAAACTTTTTTAGTTATTTAAAAAAAACATTTCCTGCTGGGGTAATGTTTGAAACGTTACCACAACCAGACATTTTCTTTTTTAATTGTGATATTGAAATAAATGTTAGCTAAATAATTAGTTATCTGGACTAGGTAAATGTTACAACTTATTTGGTATTTGTATTTTCTTCGGCTGCGAAGTTATTTGAGATCCTGCTGGAGTAACGTTTGTGGGTTTGCTAGATCTCTGAAACGGGTAAGCGGATTGTAACCATCTTTTGTACATAACTTCTTAAGGATTAGTTTTAATTTGTTCGACAATAAAATAACAAAAATAATGGACCGTTTAAAAATTATTTAGGTAAGTATGAAAACACTTTAATACGTCCTAACACTTTGAATAAGACCTCTAAAGACTTACTTCAAACGTTATTCTATTGCTTGTAACTACCTTCAAATGTATACAAATTTTTGTAAGTATACTGTAAGCGACTAAAAAGTTATGATGAAATGTGGCTCTCCACGTTCACGATCACAAAGCGTGCGGCCTTTTTTGGCCACCGATAAACCTGTGTGTGGATATATAAACTGAATGTTATGCCAATAATTAGTTGTTCAGTTCAGTTGTCTACCTGTAAAACTTCAGCGTCGTACATATAATAATTTACGAGATAATCAAATAAAAGTCATTAGAAGGTGCAAGACCGTGGTAACCCGACCATGTTTAGGTGGTTACAAAAAAGCTGTTTTCTCGTAATGTTAAGGTGAATTGTTTATAGTTGTTCATAGAATTGGTACCTGTGTAGTATTTGTTAATTGAAGTTTATTAAATTAATTGAACCACCTAAACATGGTCGGGTTACCACGGTCTTGCACCTTCTAATGACTTTTATTTGATTATCTCGTAAATTATTATATGTACGACGCTGAAGTTTTACAGGTAGACAACTGAACTGAACAACTAATTATTGGCATAACATTCAGTTTATATATCCACACACAGGTTTATCGGTGGCCAAAAAAGGCCGCACGCTTTGTGATCGTGACCGTGGAGAGCCACATTTCATCATAACTTTTTAGTCGCTTACAGTATACTTACGAAAATTCGTATACATTTGAAGGTAGTTACAAGCAATAGAATAACGTTTGAAGTAAGTCTTTAGATGTCTTATTCAAAGTGTTAGGACGTATTGAAGTGTTTTCATACTTACCTAAATAATTTTTAAATGGTCCATTATTTTTGTTATTTTATTGTCGAACAAATTAAAACTAATCCAAGAAGTTATGTACAAGAGATGTTTACAATCCGCTTACCCGTTTCAGAGATCCAGCAAACCCACAAACGTTACTCCAGCAGGATCTCGAATAACTTCGCTGCCGAAGAAAATACAAATACCAAATAAGTTGTAACATTTACCTAGTCCAGATAACTAATTATTTAGCTAACATTTATTTCAATATTACAATTAAAAAAGAAAATGTCTGGCTGCGGTAACGTTTCAAATGTTACCCCAGCCGGAAATGTTTTTTTGAAATAACTAAAAAAGTTCAAGTGAAACAAATTTAAAAATGTGCCTAACAATTACAGAAGGGGAGCAACTATCTATAACGTTTAAATGACCATTTTCGACATTATTTTGCTGGGGTAACGCACACACTCACAGGAGATAAAAGAAAATAAAATTGAAAACTATTTTAAGAGGTCAAATCACATATATAGAATGTTAAGCATTATGAGACTTAGCTGGCTTGGAGATGTTTTAATCCAGTGTATTTTTTTTATTATGGAGAGAGTATGAATTTAAGCCATCTTCATTCAGGCCTCCGAGCTCCTTATTCTTTTACATAATTTGATTATTTACTATCATTTTCAATACTACAATATATCACACATTTACATTTACTTTGAATTTTGTTTTAGGATGTGTCCCCTAAGGAATCTGGTTACTATCACTGCATTTCAAAGAAGCTTAATGGTGTGGGCTACACAGTTGGACAAGTGGACATGATTGTCACGGGGGCATCATTCACACCAATGGATGCAGTAAAACTAGTAGCCATTATCTTATCTCTGATTGTAATCATTGGCTCTGTTGCACTGTATTTCCATTTGAAGCAAGATTGGAGGAAATATGATGGCAGAGTTGTGGTATCTCCAGGTAAATAATTATAGTGCTTATAAAGTGCAACACACACATAAAGCAGGTGTGGGTCGGGACGGGAGTGTGCAGGGTTTAATTCCTTATATTTATATGGAAGACAACACACCAAAAACTTTCCGGGTCGGGTTGTCTTCCACATAAATACAGAATTAGACACGCCGCCCTCCCGTCCCGACCCACCCCCTCTTTGTATGTGTTGCGCTTAAACAAATTTAGGTTTAAAGGGTTTCTAGAAGGGTGTGGACTCAAAGGAACAGTAACCCACTTATGAGCTGGCACGACTGGAGTGATAGAATGGCCTCACAGAAAATCGGTGTCAAGCAATTTTTTCGTTGCTTTTTACTTAGTGAGTGAGGTTGCCAGAGCCTAAAACCCCCCAAACTCTTATTACCAAGAGTTTGAGTCCAAAGGGTGGTAAAGCACTTGTGACTCTTGAGTCAAAGTGTCCATGGACGATCATAGTCACTTACAGTGAGGTGACACATCTGCTGGTTTGCCCTCTATACCGTAAGAACAAACAAATGCAAGTAGGATATAATACATGCTACAGCTTCACACTTTAACCACATGCACACTCACCCAAATAAGTATAGTTGATTTCAGAAAGGTACTGTTAATTGTAAGTAACATATGGAAAATGTTTCAGTGGACGAAGTAGAGGAGGATGAAGATGCAGGTGACGAGGTTTATAATCGAACAACTACCTCCATTAGTCAGCAATCGTCGCCTACCCAAGCTGGACCTAGCAGAAATCCATCCTCAGACCAACTATTATTTGGAATAGACAATCAAGGCTTAGATACAGATTTCAACTCAGTGTTTGAGAATATTCAAATTAAGTCACCACAACGAAGTCTGATTTAAATGTAGTTTGTGTCAAAAAGTACACCAATCATCATTAGTTTAGTTAACTATTGCATAACATATTTAAAAAAGTTATAGTTATAGAAAGTATGTAAATAGGATATAGTATAAGATTAATGTTGATTAAAAAAAATATTTTTTATTTTACTTAAATAAACTGTTTTAATATTCTTATGTCTTATTCATCAGACTTGTTCAGGATTAAAAAAATAAGGCCAAGCCATAGAACGGGTGGCTACGCGGCGTAATCAGTTTCTAATGTATTAATAAATACAGATATCACAAAGGCGCTACATACTAGTACGGCGCTAGTACATTTTACTAGTACTACCCAACATGAGCGCATCAACATTAAAGATCAACCAGCAACCACCAGGTTTAGAGAATGTTGGTTTAAGATCACTTAATTGCGGGCAGGCGCTAGGAGGGGTCCGGATGTCTTAATAACAGCAGTTCCCGGATCCCTCCTATTACAGGCGCAGAGTGGCACACCGTGTGGTTTTAGTCGGTCCGATTCCGACACACCACCCCGCCGCAAACCCCGGTGGGGTTTCCACACGTAAAAAAAAAAAATCACTTAAAATGTTGCATCAGCTGGTGTAACATTGTGTTTGTCAGCAATAGACTGATCTGTGGTATTGAGTGATTGGGGTGTCGTGTCTAATATTTCATCTTCTTCATCCTCGCCGTCAACTTCCATCTCGAATACGCGTACTTTTCTTAGACTTTTTGCTAAAACCACGGCTACTTTGCGACCACCAGATACAGCTATTCGAAAACCATCAAGCTTATCCAACACTTTGTATACTCCTGGTTCAAGCAAAGGCGACATGTTCTTCTTAATGATCTTATCATTGAATAAATACAACTTTGTTTTTATATTGCATTCAACCGAATTCTCTAATGCTATTTTAATTGGAACTTGAATAAATATTGCACTTGCATCATTGTGTGGATGTTGTGTAAGCACTGAGAAATATTCAGGCGAATAAAACTGTAAATCCATAATAGGAATATTATCATTATCCATGGTATCATTGTCTGCAACTAAACATGATGAGAAGTAGTACTTCATTGCATTTACAGTACACGCCTTTTCTTTAATATTGACTGTCATGAAATGGAGTCCCTCTATTTCATTTGTTTTATCCATAAAGGCCATTAAAAATCTATTTGCGTCAGCATGGTAAGTTTGACAAATTCGTAAATTTTCTATGAGCTTGCTGTTGCTGTGGTCCTCATAGCATTTAATGTTGTACAGTAAAGAAAAATATTTGCAGGTGTCCTTTTTCGCGACATCAAAGATCTGTCCTATTGTAGTTTTTAAATGATTTTGTTGTTGAACAAGAGAAAACTTTTTGAACTCGAACAAAGAGAAAATTGTGTCGCTGTCTTTCAGTAGACAAGCATTATCTTTGAGAAATTTGTGCCATGGATTATCTTCATCATCTGGCAAGATCGTCAAATCTTGGTCTTCCAAATATTGTCCTAGTCTTTCTAAATTAAATTTAACAGGTTTGTCAGGTAAACTTTCACTGCTTTCTACTTGTACATTATCAAAGTTGTATAAGAATTCAGCAATATGACCAAGTTCTTGTTGAGTGATTTTTACAATTTCACTGGGTGTTTGTTCTCCAAGTAATCGGACTATCACAACAAAAAGCCACCTAAAAAAAGCTTTATAATTACGCATGGATGTATCTATTACTTGTTGCAATTCGAGGCATTTGTTCAGAAACGCGCAACAAGCTCTTATTGCCTCTGTAACGTCACCTTCATCTATGCCAATCACCTAAAAATATAAATATATCACTGGGTCATATATTGGCATATCGTCAACTTCTTTGGTCTATATTTAGAGTCACTATTTATCAAAATCGACTGTGCTACGTAGAGTACGTAGCATAGTCGATTTTGATAAATAGTGACTGTAAATAATCCTTACTAATATTATAAAAACGAAAATAACTCTGTTACGTTTTCAGGCTAAATTGCTAAATTGCCGATTTGAATGAAGTTTCGCACAGAGATACTTTGATTTTTGAGAAAGAACATTTGCTACTTTTTACAGCAAAACCAACATCTACGCGGGCGGAGTCACGAGCAATTGTCAAATAAATTTAACGGCAGTGGATGGAGTACATTGCCCGTGGAAGCGATGGCTGATGGGGCTAAACGGTTTTCGATTGGCGACCGCGTACCGGAAGACAGAGCGTGGGTAGACTTCCAACAAGGTTTTCCGACAACCTGGTGAAGGTCCTCAGAATAATTGTAAATGTCTAATATAACTATATGGGAACTTGACGAATTGAGAACTTTGGTCACTGCGCCATCTGCCCATGAAACTGTGCATCTAGTATTTACGATTTTAATGTTTGTCATTTGTCAAGGTAACTTCTACTGTAGACTTCATAGAATCTGGTTGTTTCGAATATTTAGATTGGTCCGTCCAAATGTCTGTCTGTATTCATGGACAAGTCCATGAGAGTCATTCACAAAAACACATTGATTTTTTAAAATTACGCGCATTCTTACATTAGGCTTGGACCACGAGTCAAAAGCGCGTTAGATTTTTAAAGTATTCCTATTACCTATGTGGAGTTTTATCTAGATGGCCAAAGCCTTTTATTTAAATCACACGCTGACAATTCAATCAAGTGCGCGTCGGACAAAACGCACGTTAGCACGTGAACAACTTCAACAAAAACCTGTTTGCCCATCATTTGAAAATGACCTTTTAAAAAACTTTATAACTTACACAAATAATAAACAAACCTTTCAAGATTACCTATCCAAAAAGTGGCCGTGGATTACACACCAAATTTAAAAAGAGAGGTTATTTTTTTTACCTTATATCTATCTGGTATTCTGGTTAATCCTCTGAGTTCGGAAAGATAATAAGTCAGGCTTTGCCCAACTATATTCAGTTGCTTTAAGACTAATTTCTGTATTGTTGAATAACTCAATTCAATTGAATTTCCGAATTTTTTCAAATCATTAACTGTCAGTTTCTGAAGTAAGCAAACCTCTAATTCATCTGATGGTGTTCCTGCAACATCATTTTTTTTTTAATCCTATCTCTTATCCTGTGAGGCTGAGAACAACAAACTTATTAAGTTTTACACCGGTTATGGTTAAAAAAACCCCCCTTTACTGCCTTCTTAAATTTGGACCTGGATAATCTCTTCTATGCCATAATTACAATAGGAATGGGAGGGTTACCCACTGCTTTAAGTTTCATTTAGTAAGATAAATACCAGTATACAAACCTAACATCAGTAATTCCAATAAATCAGCAGAGACACCACCTTCAGGTACTGCAGCTGCATAATCAGCCATTTTGGTATCCATTTCCAGTAAAATATGCTCCCATGCCTCAATAATCGAAATCATGGTCTGGTCCAATTGTGACACTAACCTTGCAATTTCACTATGTTTCTTTGCAACTATGTACATTTCTTCAGCATATGCAGACAACACACTTGTATTCATTAGTGATATAAACAGATTATTGGTCAAGCAATCAATGTAGGCTATTTGCATTAGACTAAAGTCGTCAGACATGCAGATGTCTAGTATCTTGTATCCCCCAAATTCATCTTTGGCTAGTTGAGCAAGATGTATAGTACCAAATGGATATCTACCAAAAATGTTCATATAAATGTATCCAGATCCATACCCAACTAATAACATATTCAGCTGATTTGCAGCAGGTATTTCTTTTAAGTCTTTAGGGTTTTCATCAGTTCCTTGGTTTTTGTATTCACCAACTACAGGTAAGCTTTGTAGGAATAATGAAGCATCATCCTGAAATAATTAAAAACATTGTTCTAATTCAGTAATGGTCACAATTAGCAAAACTAACCTACAATCTTGGTTCCTTGTTTGTAGCAGTTATAAACAAAAGAATATCACATACATAAATATTAGGTTCTGTAGCACTCTCCAAAATTTCTGTCCTGACTGCCCAAGATAAACAAGTGATACCATGTTTACTCGGATCAAATGCATCCTCATCTTCTTGCTCCAACTCATACCTGTCAAGTTCTTCTTTATCTTCTATATCAATGATAAATACAACCCCTGAACTGTAACCAATTGCTAGAGCCTAAAAATTAAAATTTATTCACATAAATGGATATAATACAATAAATTTATGTTTCAATAATGTTACTACTATATTTTTAATTTAACAAGTAATATAGCTTTACAAAGGATTAATTTATGCTCTTTCTGTAATAATATTAATAACAATGTGTTTATTTTCTCAAAAAAATAATATTTCTACATGAGAGACAGATGACGGATTAAGAATACATAGTGTCACCATCCCTATTATTTCCGTGAGTGTTGTAAGAGCCGACTAAGGGAGCAAACTATGCAGGATAACAGCACTGCAAATAGAAGGAAACTTGAAACATACCCTATACCAACTCCAAAGGCCAAAACCTCCTTTCTTTGGAGAGGCCTATGACCAGCAGTGGACTAGTAAAAGCTGTGGATGGATGACATGAGAGATCACAATTACAATTTAAATTCAGGATATATATTATAAGGATTTATAGTGAACTTCGGGGGGTAAAAAAAAAGTTCTATCTCATACAATACCTTTCCATCGGGGCGCCAAGCCATTGCTTGGACAGTAACATTTTCCTTAGGAGGAGATAAATTCCACACTTTTTGCCAATGGAGCCTATGTACTTGAACTTCACCTTAAAATCAACGAAGAATTTAATCAACAACTGCTCAAATACACTTATAGACCATATTAGTTCACTCAAACATATAATATGTTTATAATAATAGTTTCCACAATAGTCCAGTACCTTTGAAATTGCTTAAGGCTAATAAGTCGAGCCGGTTGCTCCACACCATCAAATCCACTTTATAAGGAACATGCCTCTCTCCTACTGGCCGCATTCCACAATGATACATCTTTAAACTGAGAGAACAACTTACAATGCGCTAATCAAATAATAAACTTTATTATCACGCTAATAACCCCATACTTCAAATTTCACCTTGCAGCTGGTTTAGTGATTTGTTGTGGTCTGTCAGCCTGTGGCTCATCCCTAGCCAATCTGAAATCAATTAATCAAATAATCGATTTTTCGGGCCAAAAAAATATCGATACTTTTAATCGATTAGTACCACTGTATCGATCCAGTGGATAGATATTTTAACCTAGAAAATGGACTCGATTTTTTTTGGTTTGATAAAAGTCAATAAACGATTTACAGCTGGTTGAATGTACTCAACATAAATAATATGTAAAGTAGAGGAGCCCGAATTCAAACGAGAGCTAGCCTTACATGCCTCTATCAGAGTGCATCACGACGAGTTTATACTAAGTGCCCAAACTATGACAATCATCATCATATCAACAATAATCCCTACCATGAGATACGCAAAAAGGTACAAAAGTCTGTTACATGCCTGCCATAGTTTTTTACTTGTTACATTAAAAAGTTTAGAAAATATATTTTATAATATAGCTTATAATTCCCAATGCTTGATGTCTAAGCTATTAAGAAACAACAGTCTGTCAAGTCTACTGGCATCCGAGCGGTTCCCCTCCTCATTTTTGATGTTGTCGCAATCGAGAAAAGGCGCTCACAAGGCACAGATGATCCCCCCATTATACTTCATTGCTATTTTATATAATTAAGTGAAAAACTGCTTTTTCTTTACGTGTGTTGTGAAGCACGGAGAAAAGAGTGGCTGCAAAAGCGACACCAATGGGACACTTACTATTAACTCGTTGTGATGAACTCTTATAGAGGCATGTAAGTCTAGCTCTCTCTGAATTCGGGTTCCTGTAATACATATTATTTATGTTGAGTACATTCAACTAGCTGTAAATATTTTTTTGGCTTTTATCAAAACAGAAAAATCGAAAGTAGATTTTTTAGGTTTTTAACGGCTGTACGTGACTGTACCTACAGTATAAAGTGCTTACGTAGCTTAATATAATGTAGACAATATCTTCAGTCCTTTGTAACACACTTTTTGTACTGATACGAACCAAAAAAACACGTTATTACGGCACACGGTCTTCTAGTCTAAGAGCCCGTGAACCCCAGACCTTCGTTATTTTATAAAAGCTGAAAGTTTGTCAGCGCATACTCCCAACACAGGCAAGAACGATGGACCATTATGAAGTTTGGGTTATCGTAGCTTCGGCAGGTAAACGGTACTAAAGGTGTGTAAAATACCGATCTAAATTCATCAAATAATAAAGTGTGATTTTTTGGTATTACCTTCAGAATATTACTAAAAATCACGTTATTGCATGCCAGACACTTAACATCGTGGCAACCCCTTGCCAGACACCCTTAATGTTCATAAAATTGTAATTCTACTTATGTTATAGTATAAAAGCTGATTTTTATAAATAATACTTAGGGAAGAATTAGATGATGTTTCCTCATTAGCCAGACATTTTTGATAGTTCCAACCCCTTGCCAGACAAGCATGTAAATCTTAAGAAGACATGCAAATGAACTTTTTGGCACAGATTTATACAACTAACAATCTGTGTAAATTTAAAAAAACATCTTAAGAAAAGACATTCGATGCTACACCTATCTTAAATTTTTAAAAATTTAAATTTATTCTGTCAATGACAGGTACAGGATAAAAATAAATAACTAAATAAAATAACACTCAAAAATTTAATTAAAAATAGATTAATGACATGTAATGTCATTAATCTATTTTTAATTAATTTTTTATATAGTTATTATAAAGTATCATTTTCTTCGTCACTGTTACTCCATTCGATATCGCCGTCTTCTTCTTCGTCAGTTTCTGTAAAAATATGAAAAAGTTAATGGGATTGAAAATATTAAAAAATTATGTATAATGGTTTGAAGTAGTATTTATACCTGAGACAGTTTTCAGTGATTCTCTGACGAAATTTGGCAACTGATCACCTTCGAACCATTTAAAATGGTACTGATTATCTTCGAGAACCTAACCATTATTGTCGATTTGATAAATTGTTGGAATTTTCTGATTTGCATTATTCCAAATGCTAGACACGTAGATGGCTCGCAGAAATTGTTGTAGCAGCTCGGATTTACACGGTGGCAGACTGCTAGCATCCAAATTTCGTAGTTTTTTACGGCTAAACGCTTCATTAATATCTGAGACCTGATATTATGTATTAATGAATAGTTGAAGCCGTGCTGCATCAACATCAGTTATCGAACTGACATTGTATACCTCACATATAAACAGTTGAATAATATCAAAAGTGCTTTGTTGTTCATTATTATTTTCGAATAATTCGTGTTTACCCAATTTAATGAAAGCTTTTTGATACTCTTCCGTTTTTTTTTATATTTTAAAAGGCCTCAACTTTCCTTTTCGGAAAAATGCAGGATCATAATCACAACCTGTGATCGCATGGAATCCTGGTAAGCTCTTGCAAAAAGATTTTCCTAACTTTACGGCAATATCTGTGAGGTTTACGTATCTCAAGTTATTCCCAGTGCCTATCAACATCCAAATAAGTGAATCATTTTGTAGATGGTGCATATGACCAAGCTTGATAGCTGCAATGTCAGTGTCGACACTTCTGATCACAATATTTACTTGATTTGGAATACTGCACGCATGATAGACTATTTTGGTATCAGCCTCTTCATGTTTTGGACATGATAACTCTTCTACATCCCTTGTTACTACATTGTTAGAAGCATTAACAACAAAAGAATGATACTGTTTAGAGTTTATGTGAATAGTTTTATTTCCAATAAAAAGTATTATTTCATCACTGGCCCAATGCAAAATCAAAAAATCCACCAGAGCTTGTTTAAAATTTTGAAACGCACCCACCACTACAAATACTGTCTCGCGCTCGCTCTTACAGCTACCCTACATGCTTGTCTGGCAAGGGGTTGGAACTATCAAAAATGTCTGGCTAATGAGGAAACATCATCTAATTATTACCTAAGTATTATATATAAAAATCAGCTTTTATACTATAACATAAGTAGAATTATAATTTTATGAAAATTAAGGGTGTCTGGCAAGGGGTTGCCACGATGCTAAGTGTCTGGCATGCAATAACGTGATTTTTAATAATATTCTGAAGGTAATACCAAAAAATCACACTTTATTATTTGATGAATTTAGATCGGTATTTTACACACCTTTAGTACCGTTTACCCTTTAATATAATAAAATAAAACATAATATGGAAAGCAAGTTTCTGTTATTGACAAATTTATTCTTGACTACAAAATTAACAACAGTTGCTAGGTAACATCATCATATTAAAGATAGACAATTTGTAACTGATGTATATAACCTTCTTAACATTCCGTCTCCTCTTCAAGCAACTGTTGGTTAAGTGGAGGCTCCAGCTAGCTTACATAGTTCTAGAAGCCTAGGCTTAAATAATGGCTTTGTCAAGAAGTCTGCCAGTTGATTCTTGGTATCAACCTTCTCAACTTTTATATCCTTTTCTAGGACACACTGCCTTACGAAAAAATGTTTAAGCCTTATATGCTTTGTTCGGTGGTGTGCTTCGTAAGGTGGATCATAAGCTAATCTTATAGCGGATTCATTATCTATAAAAAGTGGTGTAATCTCCTTCTGAGTATTACTCTGCATGAAGTTCATGATCCGTTTAAGCCATATAACTTCTCTGGCGGCCTCACTTGCTGCAATTATTTCAGCTTCTGTAGAAGATATTGCGACAGTAGTCTGACGTTTACTCTGCCATGCTATTGCACCATTGGCGTTGAGGCAAATCATGCCGCTGGTGGAGCGTCCAGTCGTCTCATCACCACCATGATCAGCATCACTGTAGCATCTTAAGCCTCGTTCTACAGTGGAAGATTTGTATGTTATACCATACTCTAACCTAACATAGCGTAGAATTCGCTTAACTCTCGCTACATCTTCTGATGTTGGATTATCTAGCTTCCGTGACACTATTCCAACTGCAAAAGCAATGTCAGGTCTAGTGCCAACCATCAAATAGGATAATGCTCCAACAACCTGTCGATATGGAAAGTCATGGATATCCGTATTGTCTTTCGAAGCTAGCACGTTATCTTTAACAATTGGGGTTACTGCAGCTTTGCAATTCTGCATGCCAAATCTTTGCAGTAGCTTCTTTGCATAGCTCTTTTGATCAATTTTGATTGACCCATCAACTTTACGTTCTATTTCAATTCCAAGAAAATAGGAACCGCATTTCGTTGTGATTTTGAAGCGTTGACGCATTTCGTCCAAAAACTTTTCAGTTTCTTTTGAACTTGCTGACGCTATCAATCCTTCATCAACATATAAAGCTATTAATAACTTGTTCTTTCCCTCTCTTTTAAACAAGCAGGGGTCACCCTCACTCTGTATGAAGCCAACTTTGAGGATGTGCTCAGTAATAGTAGAGTTCCAGCACCTCGGTGCTTGTTTAAGTCCATAGAGACTTCGTTTAAGTTTGCAAACTTTACCATCATTGTTTGAATATCCTTCTGGAGGCTTCATATAAATATCCTCTTTCAATTTGCCATATAGAAAGGCAGTTGAAACGTCGAACTGACATAGAGAGAGATTTTCTTGAGCAGCTATACTGAGTAATGCTCTTATGGTACTTGTCTTTGCAACAGGACTAAAGGTTTCATAATAATCTAAACCCTTCTACTGTGAAAAACCTCTTATTACAAGTCTGGCTTTGTATTTATCAATCGATCCGTCAGGATTCGTCTTGATCTTAAAAATCCACTTGCTTGAGATCGCTTTTCTGCCCTTGGGTAAATCTACCATTTCCCATGTTTCATTTTCTTTTAGAGAATTAATTTCATTATCCATTGCCTTTTTCCATTCATCAAAATCTTTAGATGCCATCACTTCTTGAAATGTACTTGGCTCTTTTCGATTTTCATCGCTTATCGAATTGCCATTCATACAAATGTTGCAAATGAAGTCTTTGTATCTAGCCGGTGGCCTGAGATTTGATCGGTCTCGTAGCGTCATCCTGCCTTCAGCCTCGATCTCAGATGCAGATAAAGACGAATCGTCTCTACGGTCTGGCCTCGATTCATTTATATCGTTGACTTGACGATCTGTCTCGATTACATCGCTAACCTCTTCTTCGGGTATAGGCTCGTAAAAGGATTCCTCCGCCTCTAAAAATGTTTCAGCCTCTGGCACGTCATCTTCACTCGCAGTTTCAATCTCTGCACATGATGATTCAGCAGCATGTTCATCTTGCTGAGAAGACGATGCGATACTTTCATCATGACTTGTCAATGTCTGCTGGATGTTGCTCGTGTCGGCCGGCGTGTAACATTCATGCTGACGAGGAATGACGAAGTCAAACAGGGTGTTGGAATTTTTATCAGCAGTTTTGTTCTGATTGGCAACAGGCTCGTCAATCTCTTCAAAGTGACCCAATAAAGGATTCTCATTAAAAGTGACATCTCTGGAACGAATCAGTTTGAAAGAGTTGCTGTCCCAAATACGGTAGCCATTGTCAGAGTCATATCCAATTAATATTCCTTTTTGTGCCTTCTTGTCTAACTTCTTTCGTCTTTGCTTGGGAACATGTGGATAACAAATGGATCCTATTATTCTTAAATGACTCAGTCTGGGTTTCTTCTGGTGCCATAACTCATACGGTGATTTTCCATCCACAGAGGTTGGGCCTGTTCTGTTTAAGATGTACACCGCAGCAGATATCATTTCAGCCCAAAGTGCAGGAGGAATTTTTGCATGTGCGTACATTAGACTCCGCGCCATTTCCACAACGGTCCTGTTGTCTGGCTCTGTTGGATTTTGTTGTGGCGTATAGGGCATTGTCAATCTTTGCACAATACCTTCCTTCTTGAGAGTAGCTTGTACCTTCACGTTGACAAACTCACCACCGTTGTCGCTAAGAAGTTCTTTTATGACAACTCCTGATGCTTTTACTTCAGTAAGCATAAGTAGCAATTTCGCGTGTACTTCAGCTTTTTCCCTCATAAAATACACAAATCTGTACCTTGTATAATCATCTTTGAAGAGAACAAAATATCGCAACTTTGTGATAGAATATGGGAAGGGTCCACAAACATCAGCATATACAAGTTCTCCAGGTCTCGTTGCTTTCTCTCGGGTCCCAAACTTAAGTCTATGGGATTTGCCATAGATGCAACCTTCACAGAGTTCCTTGGTTACTGGTACTTTTATATGAAACTCATTTTCAATCACCTTCTTCACATGGCTTTTATTTTGATGTCCAAATCTTTCATGATATAGCTGTAACAAATTTGTGTTTGTGGACACCTGATTGACTCGTACAGTTGGTTCCAGACATCTTATTTTAATTTTAAAGAGTCCTCCAAACTTGCTGCGGGTGCCAATCAGCTTTACCTGTCCATCAATCTTTAGTGTACATTTTAGTGTGGTAGATTCAAAAACACTGTTGTCAGATATGTCGTGGGTTGCAAGTACTGAAAATAAATTCCTGCTAATGCTGGGTACGTACCAGACATTCTTCAGTAGTATCGGTATTGCATTTCCGTTTACATCAGCCTCTGCAAGAATATTTCCGATGCCTAGGGCTTCAATATATTGGCCATTCGCGCCAGTCACTGTATGACGGCTCTTGAAATATTTGAAGGTCTGAAAGAGATCATTTCGATTGGTAACATGATTGGTAGCCCCATTATCAATGAACCAATTCTCTAAATCTTTCCTTTCTCCAAAATCAGCCGAATCTATTGTCATAACAGTCAGGTTCGTGTTTGCGGTCTTGGTTTCCTTGGGCGGCCTTCCATCTTGGATCCACCGCTTACAATTTCTAACTCTATGTCCCTTTTCCTTGCAATAATTGCATTTAGGCTCGTTAAAATTCTTCTTTTTCTTACCCTTATTTGTTTTTGTATACAAAGCTTCTGCACTAGTCTCCTCTGTGACATTTGTGTCTTGACGCAGGACTCTCTCTTGTGCACACAATTGACTTGTCAGATTTTCAACTGATCTTTCCATTTTTGAAATCAACAGCCAACTGGACTTAAAACCAAGATATTCTGGAGGTAATGTATCTAGTATCTTGCATATTAAAAGAATTTCAGGTAATTTTGTTTCACTCTGCAATTCCGTACATAGCTCGCTCCAAATATTCTTTAAAATTGACACATGTGTAATTATGTCATGTTCTGGGTCCTTTTTGTAACTGAAGAATTTCAGGCATAAGTTGTATGTCTTGTCTACACACGTACCACCATAGGTGCGCTCTAGCTCATCCCACATATCTTTAGCAGAATCAAATCGCAAAAACTTTTGTAAAATATCATCTGACATGTTTGTTGTCAACAGAATTAAAATTGCGCTATTCAAATTTTCAAAACTTTGGAGGTCTTTTTCATAACTAGCCTTTGCATCGCCAGTAGCCGAAAGCGCCAAGGATGGTCTTACCTTCTTCCCTTCGAGGATGAACATGCCTCCTGGTATTGCCTTTAGCACGATTAGAATTTTGAATCTCCATGTTTTATAATTATTGGAATCTAGTTTCCCAATTTGAATCTTACTCGCATTTAATGCTTGCTCCATTGTTTACGCTCTGCTACCACTTTAATATAATAAAATAAAACATAATATGGAAAGCAAGTTTCTGTTATTGACAAATTTATTCTTGACTACAAAATTAACAACAGTTGCTAGGTAACATCATCATATTAAAGATAGACAATTTGTAACTGATGTATATAACTTCTTAACATTACCTGCCGAAGCCACGATAACCCAAACTTCATAATGGTCCATCGTTCTTGCCTGTGTTGGGAGTATGCGCTGACAAACTTTCAGCTTTTATAAAATAACGAAGGTCTGGGGTTCACGGGCTCTTGCTCTATTCATATTTATCCGCCGCCTAAGCACCCCCATCAGGTTGAAATATTGATCCACTGAATCGATTTAATGCTACATATCGATTAAAAATATCGACTGTTTGACCCGAGAAATCGATACTTCGATTAATCATTCTCAGATCGACATCCCTATTAATCGATCTCAGATCGCCATCCTTAGTTTATTACAAAACAACAAAATATCTTGAAATGACATGGACAAAGGCAATTAGAAATTGCAAGAGCAGATAGTCAGCTAAGTATCAAAAATAAACAACTTGAATTTACACTCTATTGAAACTTTATATCATAATATGTATAGCTGCAGTTGTTGATGCATAACTACTGTATCTTATAGCACTTTAATTAAAATTTTGCTGTAAAAATTTGTAAGAAGTAAAAAAAGATGGACCTAAATCAGAAAAGAATTACAATGAGGGACACCCTTATTAACTGTTTATCACAACAACTGAGTGAATATGAATTACTCACATCTATGTATCCCAACCAAGGTGAAATTGTGCTTAGTGAAAAAAATAGTATTGTTGAAATCAATAACTTTATAGATAACAAAACTGAAAAATATCCATCTCCCCTTGATTTTAAAATTAACCTTTTAATCAATAACTTAAAACTAGAAGTTTTTATCAACTTGCCTGCCTTATACCCGAAGGAAGCACCGGATCTTTATGTGAGATGTAATCAGATGAATCGAGCGAGTGAATCAAAACTAAATTCGGACCTATTCAAATATATTGCAGAAAATTATAACGGAGAAGTATTTCTTTATACAGCAATTTGTTGGCTGCAGGAAAATATTGAGCAATTTACAGTTGTTCATCAAGAATTAAATCAAATTGAGGAACAGGAGCCTGAAAGAAAAATAGAGCAGTATGCTAGGTTTTGGGTGTATTCTCATCATATTTATAATAAGCGAAAGAGAGAAGAGATCATTAAAAAAGCTAGAGAATTAAAGCTTACAGGATTCTCACTACCTGGCAAACCTGGTATAGTCTGCGTTGAAGGCCATCATAGTGATTGTAATAATTGGTGGAAGGACATTAAAACATTGTCATGGCAGAAAATTACGCTACGAAAAACTGAAAAATTTCCTTCATCTGAAGAAAAAACTTATAAAAAGTTTTCAAACTTTGAAGAACTCAACTTTAGTAAGAAAGATCTTGCAAAATATATGAATGAGCTTGGTCTAAACCACGAGTTTAATGATTTATTTGGGTTATGCAATGACACTTGACATAATTGAATGTAGTTTAATTTTCTTAAATAACTAATAAACCAGTATTATGGTCTGGTGGTTGTGGCGAACCTTTGGGGGAGACCTATATCTCAGTGGACATCTTTCGGCTGACATGATGATTGTAAAAACATTTTTATTTATAATTTTAGTATCCTTAACAAAATATCTTTTTATACCTTCCATTATTTTTAAATAATTTTATTAATGCTTGATATACAATTTCATTTGTGCAATTCTGCTCCCATGATTGTTAGTAACTATAGTAAATCACACTGCCAGTAACATGAATTACTGAATGTATAACAACAGGAGCAGAATCATTATGTAATTTTTCATAACTTCTCAATTTTATGATAAATAGTATATATATGTATACTGCATATATGGAGTAGTGGTTAAAGCAGTCACCTCACTGCTTCCTACTGTGTTGAGTGTTGTGGGTTCAAACCCCACATGGGACGACACTTTGTGTAATCATCAACTTGTTGTTCTGAGTCTTGGTGTTCTTTGTGTCCAATTCAAATGTGTGTTAAGTCCAAGGATTATATTCCTAGTGTGGGAGTAGTCTTTTTTTTCAAAAACAAAAAAGTACAGGACAGGTTAAGCAATGTAGATAAATTTTCATGACACTGTACTGAAAAAAGTGTAAATACAAGTTTGTTGTTACAAGATTAAATTCTTGCCATAAGGATTAAGTCAGAGTAATGCAATCAAATATTTATGACAAATTATTATTAAGCAATATTTAATGCTGTTTCTTCTATTTACAATTCCATTCTTACTTGCTATGTCAAACAAAAATAGACTTAAATAGAAAATAATCATCACTTACGAAGTTGTGAGTAATATAACATTTTATCTAGACATCAAAAATTAGCCCTAAAGAGGTTTTTAACCCCCTTCTGCCAAAGTTTTTAGAAGTCATATAATATGGATTTTTTTAAGCAAATGACTGAATATTATTTAAATAATAGATATATGGTTGTTTGAATATGCAATATATACATATTTTATACACAAATACATTATATTTGTTAACTACTTTTCATTCATTAGTATACTATACATAAGAATTTGTGAATTTAAGTTATTTGTTTGCTACTAGGATTTGGGATTCCCTTCTCAGTTTTATCCAGTTGGATATTAACAATATGAAAATAGATATACCAATATTGTGAAATATTTTAAGATTAAGTTATCAAATAGGCAGGCATAAGCTTAAAAAACTTTGTATGTAAATATGTTTATTTACGGATGGCTTAGTGGTTTAAGCGATCGCCACGCACGATGGTTCGATCCTCACATGGGACAACACTTTGTGTGATCCACAAATTGTTGTTCTGAGTTTGGGTGTTCTTTGTTTCCTTGTCTTCATGTTTGTTTGTAAAGGCCCTCGCGACACAAGATATATATTCCTAATGCGGGAGTTGCCTTTAAGCAACAGAAATCAGTAGTTATCCTCTATCTACTTAATGCAGTTATTGTTCTTCAAGTTAAAATCGTTAAGAAATAAAGAAATGCAGAAGCAGAAGAAACCATCACCGATTTCTTGACAGATCAAGCGAAATAATTATAATAATATACAATTGCCACCTAATCATGGTTTACGTTTATTTTACCATAAGCAAGTATAAGTAATTTGTTATTGTTGACGATAGGTAATAAAATAAGCACAAATTGAAAACAATTTTTTTATTTTATTTCATACAAGAAACCAAAAAATCAAATGCCATCCACTGTCTCGTGCCTCGCTCGTTATCTTAGATAAGATTATTTATTCGCTCAAATACATGTGTACATACCTACAATAAATAATCGCATATCGCATGTAAGATATAGTTGGAAAAAGTTCGAGACATGTTTACCATAGGCAATATCGTGCGAATTCAAATATGATTAAATTAATCATAATAACTATGGATAAATTACTATTAAGGCATTGTAAATTACCATCAACCGTCAGTGATCTATTTCTATCACTTGACCTGATTAACAATTAATATTATATGTAGATATATTAATGAAGTATTAATTAGCAGTCTATTGGATTAATTAATCTATACAATGTCAAAGTAATACTTATATTAAATCTTAATAATAGGTCTTTACCTATGAAATTGCCGTTTTGTATGCAGTAAGTGAAAGTACTTATTTTTTCAAACTTTTTTATTTCTGTTATTCGAAGTAATCACCCATGCAATCGACGCATCTTTGCCAACGCATTGGCAGTTTATTGCTGCCCTTCTTGTAAAAATCAGCTGGACGAGAGGCAACAAACTCTTCAAAGGCATTTTGTACTGCATCTCGGAAATTGAATTTTTTACCCACTAAAAAGTTGTCTAAATTTTGGAAAAAGTAATAGTCGGTAGGTGCAATCGGATGATGTAGGCTTTGTGCCAGAGAGAGGAAAAGGAAAAATAAGTCAATAATGTGGGTTATAACTTCAAGGACGTAACCAGGGTGGTAACTATCATCCTACGGCTTGCAAACCATTGCGTTACAACAGACAGTTAGGACAGGCAGGATGATCTTTTTGATGTTTTTGATTTGAGTATAGCAATTTTGGGTCTGGGTAGACTAGCGATATAACTTGGGGTCCGACTATGTTTAAGAATCCCAAGATTGATATCATTTAAACCAAGGAAACTTAGTCAATTGTTGTCTACCAATGCTCAACGTGTTGCGGAACTTCCACATACTCGAAGTGTCGCTCTTCAAAGATGCCCCAGGGGCCAAGGGACTTCGAAATTTGAGGAATTAGTGACCTTTGGTATTACTTTCTTAATAGTGCCACATTTTAATGCCGATGTTGAGTTGAAAGACTAAAGGCATAACAGAGGAATAGAATGGTGTGAAATATTTTATCTGCTATGTTAATAATAATAATATTCAATTACTTCTGCCAAACTGCACAGCAGTTTGTTGGCAGACGTAGCTCCCACTTTATCATATTACATTATTTTAACTGTTGTTATTACACTCTTTTTTATAATTTGACAATTACATTATCATATCCTTTTTACAAAAAAAAAAAAAAAAACATGCAAAATTACAGTAACGATCATTTAATCAAATTAATTAAAATTACCTAGTGATTAGTTATTGTTAACAAAAATACTTAAGTAACATGATATAACAAACATGACAGGAACCTAAAGTATAGTTATAATAACTATACTTTAGGTTCCTGTCATGTTTTCACTGATCACATTTAGAAGAATCTTTGTTACTTTGTATTTAAACGATCGTTTTGAAGTACAAGCACTTTCTATGTCTGTAGGTAAACTGTTATATATAGTTGGTACTAAATATTTATTGCATCTTTGGCCATAATAATTATAGCAAATGGGCACCTCAAAAGTCCTACAATATTTTACACCTCGAGGCCTTAGTGGCACAGCCCTGACTTTGTACTCTTGGTGGCAGTAATGATCTAATGCTACTAATAGCGCTACCTTCTCATGCACTGGCAGGATTTTACACTCGACAAACAATTCCTCATAGTTGGTTATTTTACACCGTAATTTTGTTTTATAGTTGTCTACTAACCTTTTCATAAATCTTGTTTGCAAGGCTTTAATCTTATCCAAGTACCTACGTTTTAAACGTGCGTCCATAACATGCCAGTAGATAGGAAAGCAGCGAATCTACCAGCGCATAGTAAACAACAAACAAAGTAGCCCTGTCCAGTACGCCACTGAGGTGGTGGAATTTTACAAGGACAGATCGTAATTTATCACAAAGTTTAGTAATGTGCGCTTTCCAAGAAAAATTGGTGTCTATCACTAATCCTAAGTACCTGTACTCTCCCACCACCTCTATGGCCGCACACTCACACCGCGGTCCACTACCGTCGTACTCGCTATGCAGATATTCATAGCTGTGTCCTATAATGCGTGGCGAGCGTCCAATACTTTTGTGATAGGGTGAGTGTATATGCATACATTTTGTTTTGCTTATGTTTATAACAACCCCCTGCAACCCTCCATATCTTAATATTTGTACGCTTAATGTTAGGTCCATAGTTTGTGATATATGGAGGAGGCCTTTGCTCAAATTTGGGTACCCAAAATAGAAACAAGTCAGTAATGACATTATTTTAATTGAAAAATATTATATGTATACGAAATTCAATTTTTTAATTAACTCATTAACGAACTTTGTTGATTTGATTGTTTATGGTGAATAATTTGATTGTTTATAATATTAAATTATATTGTTTAAAATTTAATTTAGATAAATTTATATTAAATATTAAATACACAAATAAATGAACATAAATTAATACTAATAATATACTAATTATTATATATAATTTATAATAAATTAATACTAATATGATATCATACTGAATGTCGATTTGTAAGTACATATTAATAGTTATGAATAGACAAATCAATATACATGTAAATAAATAAATAATGATACTCAATATTAATTAATCTATACTAATATTATAAAGCTGAAGAGTTTGTTTGTTTGTTTGAACGCGCTAATCTCAGGAACTACTGGTCCGATTTGAAAAATTATTTCAGTGTTAGATCGCCCATTTATCGAATAGGCTATATATCATCACGCTAAGACCAATAGGAGCGGAGCACCAATGAAGAATGTTTCAAAAACGGAGAAAATTTATTACTATTGAGAGACGCAGACGAAGTTGCGCGGGTCAGCTAGTAGTGAATAAATGTTGATATTAATCGTTGTTGCTAAAATTATGCACGTAAAGTTAAATAACGATTCTATGTATTTTAAGTTTTATTTTGAAATGTTATTTTGGGAATAAATGGCTTTATTATTATTATTATGTTTATAACAAGTCCGTTATCATGTGCCCACTTTATAATATTTGTGATATCGTCTTGGATTTTTTTTTCTATTATACTTAGATCGTTATCAGCGTACACCAGACATGTATCATCTGCATACATATACATATGACAGTTATGCACCACATTGCACATGCTATTAACATGCATAATAAACCCTACCGGGCCATACACCGATCCGGTTGGCACGCCACACCTGATATTTTAGCCTCCCCTACTACTCCATCGACAACAGTTTTTAGCGTCCTATCTGTGAGGTATGCGCGGAGCCATGTATTAAGCGGTCCCGCGATTCAACACTCTTGCATAGCTTGAAGTAACTGGTGGTGCTCCAAGGTATCAAATGCTTTTTTGAAATCAATATAGATCACCACCACCTGCTTCCACAGGTCTAGGTATTCATTGATTTCATTAGAAAATTGTGCCAGAGCTGTAGCCGTACTCCTACCTAAAACCGTGTTGGGCATTTGTTAAGATATTATTTTTCTCCAAAAACGTGCTTATTTGGCCTACAATATACTTTTCCATAATTTTATTTATTACTGAGAGTATAGCTATTGGCCTGTAGTTTGAGTATTCTGTGTGTGCACCTTGCTTAAAAATAGGCCTTATCAGTGGAGTTTTTAATTGTTGAGGGTATATTCCTTTTTCTACACACAAATTAATAAATAAGGCTAATATAGGACTTATTTGCGACTTTAGATACTTTATTTCCTTTACCCTTATATTATCTACACCTGCAGATTTTTCACAGCTTAGCGAATTGATAATTTTATAAACATCTTCTGGAGAAGCTCTTTGAAAACTCATTGACACTTGGCTATTGTTGACATAAGTAGACCTATCCATTAACTTATATCGACATACATGTTTTATCTCTGAGATTTCTTGAGTGAAAATTGACATATGCAATAACTTTTCGACTACCTTAGTCGAAAAGTTATTGCATATGTCAATTTTGCTGTCTATTCTACCTAAGTGTTTTAAAATAATATTGTCTAGGCTACTTTTCTCCCTGACTACCCATGTGTTTATTTTGTCCCAGATTTTTCTAACGTTCTTGTTACATTTTTTTATCTCTGCCTGGCGATATTTATTTTTAGCCCTACATATATATTTACTTGTTCTATTTCTATATTTATTGTATTGTAATCTTAAAGTCATATCGTTAGTATTTGATTTAAGAATACGCTGTGGTTTGAAATTGTAAGGATAATGCTGCAACAAATATGAAAGTCCATTAAACGTTAAAAAAAAAACAAAAAAAAAAAACAAATCAATACCAAAAACAATCGTATTAATCTGGAACCGACGATGATGGTGCTGACAAAAACGATTAGTATCAGTATTAAATTATAATAAAGGAAACTAGTTATTAACATGCTTATGGTTTTCTTTAGTAATTACAAAAACAAATTGGAAAATTTAGTGCCTATTAGAGTACGGTCGTTTTTCGTTAGTGGTTCTCTGGTGATTTTAGATGTTGAATCTGGTGGAGAGTTCATTTAACTAGTGATGCGCAAAATGTATCACTGAGCTGAAAAGATTGATACATATCATTTCGCTCTAAAGATATATATCACTCATCTAGCTCACTAGCTCATTTAGCTCACTAACTCATTTAGCTCACCAACTCATTTAGCTCACTAGCTCATTGATCCGATTCAATTGATTGGTCTCTCAATTAATTCATTTCTTCATCTAAGCCTTTAAGCCACTTTAAGCCTCTCTCGCCATACAAACCTTTCTTTATTTTCATATTAACCTAATTTCAGTTTTTGAAACTACATTCTTAACCTTTTTTTTTTAATAAAATTTATTCATTTTGATAAGATTACATAATTATTAACACCCTTTTATATAATATTTAAAAAAAGAAATTATTTCTTGTACTTTTTTTAGGTTGTATAATAGAAATCGTACATAATTTGATTTTCCTTGTACTTGGCAGGCTTAATTCTTAAGTAATATTAAACTTTGATCCTATAGAAATAATGTACATTTTGCATAAAGAAACTTGCGTGAACTCAACCATCATCTATCTCACTCATTTATCTTTAGTCTCACTCGCTCATGAAACAAAGATCGGCGTCGTTGAGCTAGTGATCTAATGATCTAGTGAGCTAGTACTGAGTTACTGATATATTCGGAGCTAGTGTGAGTGAGTGATACATTTTATCGTCGTGAATGATATATATCTTTTATATCACTCATTCAGGAGCTACACAACTCTACATTTAACCGTTGGCAACACTTGTCCTGTCATGTCAAGCAGACCTGCACAATGCAGTGTTTTCTGTATTTCACAGATATTAAGTTTTTAACAAAGTACTTATAAACAAACAACTATGTTTATGCCACTCATTCTATTTATTAAATGAATTAAATCTCTAAGTGTTATTGGTAGATATTGCGTAACATATTTTGTGTAACATATCAGTAACCAAGAATACCGGGTCGTTAAAAATGATTCCCCAGATTGTTGTGATAGTGACTACTATCAAATTTCTTTTCATACCTTTATAGTAAGTAAAGATGATATTGGTTACTCACATTTTATGATTATATAGCAAATTCACTGTTTCAGGGTTTTTTGGCCATTTAAAATTAAAGTTATATCTGCCACAGTTTTTGGGGTACATATTTAGCCTAGTCTTTCTGAAAATTATTGCTAAGTTTCTATAAGTCACATGGAACTCTTGGAACTAGTTCAGTACTCATAAAAATCATTCCAAAAATTTTGAATATTCTTTGGTAGTATGAGTCATAGTAGTAGTCATATGAAGAAGAAGAGGAAGTCAGGAATCATCATTAAGTCTCAATCCTCTACTGATTGAGCAGTTTAGTTAAGCAGTAGGGCTAGAGAATATTTTTTTTAGTTTGCAGACGTTTATATTTTTAATAAAAATTACTATTGTACTTAAACTATTGGAATTAAAGCCTAAGTTATAAGATTATAAATTCAATTCTAAAACAATGTTAGCCTACCCTAAAATTTTTAGTGATAAAAGCAATTACATTCTATAAAAAAGTCTACTTCTGCCTTTTTCCCAAACTAGGTTGGGGTTGGTAGGGCTGAACTTTGATTTTTTACTTGGAGAGACTGCTGTAGAGACCTACACAACCTAAGTGTTAGGCAATAGAAAAGTTGGGTAGAAAAAGTGTTGTTGGACTTTTTAGGGCTCCCACAGATGTTGGTAATGTATTATACAAGAACTCTTTTGTTTTTTCAGTCATTCAACAGACTTTGAAGTACATAGAAACTGGCTGGCCATCACTCATAATTTAACATTAGATAGATGGTATTATGAAAACACATCAGAATGGACCTTAGATTACCCGCCTTTCTTTGCTTGGCTGGAGTTTGTTTTGTCGTTTATAGCAAAGTATTTTGATCCTCAGATGTTGTATTTAACCAACTTGAATTATAAATCTGAAATGACAGTGTGGTTTCAAAGACTGTCAGTAATTGCTTTGGACTTTTTCTATATATATGGTGTGAAAAGGTGTGTATAATTTCAATTGGTTGGATAATTTTTTACAGGTTTGATTGAACTTATCGTAGTATACCACTGATAAAAAACTAACTAACTTGTGCATTTTTATCTATTAAGTCTTAAGTTGAAGGTATTTAGATAATATAGCTCAAATTCTCTTTTTTTAGCTGTTCCAATCTTATTGGAAATGGAAAACTGCTTGTATTTATATTGTTGTTAACAAGTCCTGGCCTTTTGATGGTAGATCACATACATTTTCAGTATAATGGATTTCTATATGGAATACTTTTGTATTCCATTTCACATATAATCAGAGTAAGTTTATTTTCTATAATTTGATTTGCACTTTTTGCTATAAAAATGAAGTCAAATGTGTACTCCCTGAAAGACAACTGAAAATTTTCAGTTGTCTTTCTGACACTGAAATACTTATTTTATTGCTTCTTCAACTATTTATTTTTGAAATAGTTTCTTCTATGGTTTTTACAAGGCTAAACATGATTACATTCTCTTAAACAATGATCCTAATATGTTTCCTTTTTAGAGACCATAAAAGACAAATGAAGTAAATAACAAATGCTAGAACAGTTTATAAAAGTATTTTCTTTAAATCTAATTACTATATTTATATTTTAACCAGTTTGTCGGTTGGATAATGTCTTCACAACATAGTCCTTTGTTTATTGCCTTGTTTCATGATGTAATTACTATACATTACAAGTGTTATTGGGGTTTGTAATATGCAGATAAAAATAATATCATTTACAAAACCCACTCTATGAAATTCTTTAATTAATTTAGAAACCAAAGTTAGATTTATACTATAAACAAATATTTGTTAAAAGCCTCTGCCATACTAAATTTCATCTAAATCCATTCAGCTTTTATTGAATTCCCATACAAACTTTTATCCTCCTTTTCACTCTCTTAAAGAATTATTTCTGGGATAAAACTACCCTATGTCCTTGCCCGGGACTCCAACTATATACCAAATTTCATCTAAATTGGTTCCATGATTGAAGAGTGAGGAGTAACAGATATACAAACAGAAAGAGAGGCAGACACACTTTCTATGTGTAATATTAGTATGGATATGTAGATAAATATTTTTTATTTTTATTAATTTCAGAGTAACAATATTACAGCAGCATTTTGGTTTGCCGTTTTGCTCAATATGAAACACATATTTTTGTATGTAGCACCTGTCTACATTATCTACTTGCTAAGAGCATACTGCTTCACTATATCCTCTGAGGATGGAGTTCACACACCTTGGTATTCATTCTCCATAACCAACTTGTTTAAACTTGGCATTACTGTTGTTAGTGTATTTGGACTTTCATTTGGACCATTTATACAACATATACCACAGGTAAGACTTATTTAAAATTTATAAATGTTAGTTTTTAGAATTTTTATGGGACTCATAAGGCAGAGTTAGAGTTTTTACAACATTTGGGATATTGGACTGGAACTGATCTCTTCTATTTAAGGGGCAGTATGGATCATGAAAGCATTTAGAAATAATGTGAAAGTTTGATTAGAACTAAATACTGACTTATGCAGTATACAGAATTCTAAAGAAACTGTAATTTGTTCCAGGTTTTGGCAAGATTATTTCCATTCAAAAGAGGTTTGTGCCACGCCTATTGGGCGCCAAATTTTTGGGCTATCTACACATTTGTGGATAAGGTACTGCAAAATATTTGTAAGTAATTTTTTTTGTTGAAATCTTAACTTTAAATTAATTACCTACTGTTTCAGTATAAGATGACATAATTATCTTTTTCCCTCTTCTCAATTTTGTTTGGGGTTGGTATGTCTTTTCTTTTTATTTATTTAAAAACTTTGTGCATTAAATGTACAATGGTGGACTTAAGAGCGCGTATAAAGCCAGCAAAATTTAAGAATTCACCCGCGCTCCCCTGCCCGCTCCCCTCACATCGAAAACGATCGCGCGTGTACCTACGCGCTCACTCGACGCGTATCTTCTGTAGTATACGTATAATAATCAGATGAAACAACTGTATTCAAAGTATGACTGCGTTATACAATATTACGAAATGTTTTGTGTACACGAATAATACGTAAATAGTAAGTTAGTAGGAGGTGACTATACCACTGATACTGAACACGAATCAATAAAAAATCAATACCAAAAAATAATATTATATTTATTTCAAATATTCAATCAATCAATCATATCAAATATCAATCAATAAAAAATCATAATAAAAATCATATTCAATCGCGTCTTTCTTATCAATATTCCGTAATTGGTATAATATTTTCTTGTAATAAAGGGCTATGGGGTCCAGCTGCAAAATTATTTGAACTAACGAGATCTCGGTCTCCTTCAATTATAAATCTTTCAGAAGCAGTACTGCTCGGACCGGGTTGGTCTCGGTCTCCTTCAATTATAAATCTTTCAGAAGCAGTACTGCTCAGACCGGGTTGGTCACGTGATATGTTTAAGGGCCCACTACATATTTTCTCTTCAGGTTTTTTAAAGATTTGCCGCGTCATACAAGGAACCTTTGTTTGATAGATTTAGTGCTTTTGTCGCCGACTTCGAATCGTTCCTATTATCAACTAACCTTAACATTATCAACGTGGGCTCGGAGCCGACATTTGTCACATCCAGGGCCCAAACTATAATTGATCTTACATCAGCAAGTGAGCACGCATCGCAACACATATCGAACTGGCATGTTTCGAACGAAGCATCGTGCTCAGACCATCGCTGGATCAAATTTAACTTTGAAATGAAACTTAAACTACCCGATCCCCGACGGAATCCCCGCACGATGGACCGGTAACGGTATGAACATCTTACTGCGGAGAAACTGCGAAGCATCAACCCAACATACGCTACTGGGACTGTTAAGGACATTGACAGTCATGTTGTCACCCTAAAACAGACACTGATCGATTGCTTTGAACAAACATGCCCACTTTCCACACCCAGAACTGGACCACAGAACAAACACCAATGGTGGGGTCCGGAACTGGAAAGACTACGTCGTAAAGTGAGAAAGTTGTTCAATAAAGCAAAAAACTCGCGATTAGACCAACATTGGGATGCCTACACGCAGGCCCGACAACAATATAAGAAGAGAATCAGAACCAGGAAAACTGAGTGCTGGAGAAACTTCTGTACTAACATAGCTAATAGAGTCAAACAACAACCAGGCTAATAGAGTCAAAAACATATTGTGTAGTAGAGGCGAACACAATCTTGGCTGCCTGAAGAAGCCTGATGGTGAGTATACCAAAACAGACTCGGAAGCCTCAGAGCTGTTATTAAAAACACACTTCCCTGGATGTCGCATATCAGATGTGATGGAAAAATGGGAAGACAGATGGGAAAAACCACCAGATGATACAGACTGGGATACGGCCCGCAAAGTTGTCAACCATGACAAACTAAGATGGGCAATTAACAGCTTCCTACCATTCAAGGCGCCAGGACTAGATGCTGTCTTCCCAGGCCTACTGAGATGGTGTGATATGACACTACTGGACCATCTTGTAAAAATTAATAGGGGCTGCCTGGCGCATCAGTACATCCCCTTGAAATGGAGAGAAGTTAAAGTAGTCTTCATCCCCAAACCTAGTAAAGGTGACTACACACAACCCAAATCACACCGACCTATTAGTCTCACATCTTTCCTACTAAAGGTTCTCGAGAGGCTAATAGATAGGAAAATCAGGGAAACTGCGTTAGTCAGTCACCCTCTACACCTCAATCAACACGCATACTCGATGGGTAAATCAACAGAATCTGCCCTACATCGAGTTGTTTCATATATAAAGGACAATCTAAATCATAAAAGGTCAACACTGGCCACCTTTAGGAGGGAGCCTTTGACAAGACCAACTTCACCAGCATTAGCCAAGCTCTGTCTAGGCATGGTGTTGATTCCACAATCTCAGGGTGGATCGACAGCATGCTAAGATATAGAGCTATTCAATTCACTGTGAGCGAAGTGACTAGAGGAGTGGTGGCTAGAGGTTGCCCCCAGGGCGGTGTACACTCCCCCTTTCTATGGAACATTGTTGTGGATGAGCTCATCGCACAACTTAATGACCAAAGATTCCTCACAATAGGCTATGCAGACGATCTTACTATTCTCATCAGCGGTCCTTTTGAGAGCATTACATGCGATCAAATGAGACTTGCACTGAAGATCGTGGAACAATGGTGCATAGCACACAACCTGACAGTGAACCCATCCAAAACAGAGATGATCATGTTCACAAACAAACGCAGCCTAGGAAATCTCAGACTTCCCAAGCTATTTGGAACACAACTTACTCTTACCAAAGAGGTCAAATACCTAGGAGTAATACTGGACAGTAAACTCCTGTGGAATAAGCACCTCGATGAAAAACTGAATAAAGCCTGCATTATTTTCTGCCAATTCAAGCGGCTACTCGGCAAAAGCTGGGGACTATCACCCAAAATTACTTTATGGCTATACAGGACAGTCATAAGACCAATAATCACTTACGGTGCTGTTGTCTGGTGGCAGAGAACAGAGCTAAGCACTGTCATAAACAAACTGCAGCAATTCCAGCGACTCCCATGCTCCGCGGTCACTGGCTGTATGCGCACAACGCCTACTGCCGCACACGAGGTGGCTCTTGGTCTGCCACCCCTGGATCTATTCATACAGCAGGAGGCCGCCATGGCGATCATTAGACTCAAACACCTGGGTCTATGGCACAAAAGTGAGGGATCGCACTGTGTGAGGTATATTATTACTGATATCAGCTCCATGCGATAGAATCCCAAAACACCATATCTTCACAAGAAGATACTACATCCAGATACATGGAAATAACCGAGATCAATCCAGCATTAACGAAGTCCGAATTTACACGGACGGTTCCAAGACTAGGTCAGGAACTGGAGCCGGAGTTTTCTCGCAAGACCTAAATATAAACATATCACTAGCGTTAGGCCAACACAGTTCCATATTTCAATGTGAATGTGTGGCAATAACTTACGCTGCCACAACGGCCATGTCAAGGGGTATCAAGGACTACAACATCCGAATAATATCCGACAGCATGGCCGTCTTAAAGGCATTGGAGGGCAAAACAATGACCTCTGGTATTGTCTTCGAATGCCACCAAGCACTGGAACAGCTCGCTATATTCAATGGGGTACTCCTCCAATGGATTAAAGGGCACAGTAACTCACACGGGAACGATGCCGCAGATGAGTTGGTAAGGAGGGGCTCGGCAACCCCAACCTCTGGCCCAACCCCACTCCTGCTCATATCGTTTAAACAAATACGATGCTGGGTCAGGCAACGGACCTGTGAAGCACACAACCGGAGGTGGAAAAACTCACCCGGCTGCAGACAGTCCAAACTGGTGCTGAATCAAGACACACCACGACTCACCTGCAGACTGATCAGTCTTAGCAGACCGGAAATCAGAATGGTTGTCGGAACTATTACAGGACATCTAGCCCTGAACCGACAACTATTCATAATCAATGAGACGGACAGTCCCCTGTGCAGGGGATGTCTGGAAGCTGAAGAAACGGCCGTCCACGTAGTCCTGGAATGCGAGGGAATGGCCACACAATGGGCAAGTATCATTCCTGATATAAAGTCGCTCCTAGAAGCTTGTGAACGCCCCAGGAGGCTTCTGCGCTTCTGGAAGGAGCTTGGCCTTTGTTTGATTGATGTGGTGTTTTTGTCACCGGCTTCTGAAGCTTGACCTTTGTTTGATTGATTTGGTATTTTTGTCACCGGCTTCTGAAGCTAAAGTTATTTTTCACTTTTTAGTGTTTTTCTTTTTGTGTTTATTTTGATGTCGGTTTTTTTTGTTGCAAAAAAGTTTTATTTATTTTTCCATTTTTATTTGTAATATCCTATAAAAATATTTGACAAGCATATAAACATCCAAGCGATTGCAGCCATCACGACCGATTTAACGTCTATTTTTGAAGAGTTCCATTGTATATCTAAGAAGACCAGCATCAGATCTTCACCAAATTTAAATGGGACCACCTCAGGAGTATAATTTTTCAAATAAAAAAAGAACAATCAAAATAAATGGAGTAATCGCGCAACAAACACACAAAAAAAAAACATAATAGTCGAATTGATGACCTCCTTCTTTTGGAAGTCGGTTAAAAATAGGTTTTAAATACCTAATGGACATACTTAAATAGCTTCGAAATCGACATAAATATATTTCATCGAACAAACACAGACACCAACTAAAAGCTTGTGTTTATTTTGCATATACTATACCAAACTATACTGCCCGCGTTACTTATGAGTTTGAAGAATATGAATATGAATCATAGAATTATGAAGAATGTAATTATTATTATTTTAATATTTTTATAGAATACTCGCAAGATCATTATGTAGTCCATACGTCTATCTAGACTTTTGGAAGATATCATAATTACACTAGGGGAAAATGATCAGATTTTTTTATTGTGAAGAATAATATAACAAAAAGCAAAAGTAAATAGCTACTTATTATATATCTAATTTATTACCTCCTATCCTAATAATCTAATAATTGAATTGATAATAACTCGGCGCGCCTAAACACTTGAGCGCAGTCCTCTCGTCTCAACGGAACGGTAGCGACTGATGTCTGAAATAGAAATATGCTTGAAGCTCCCGCAACGTGCGACGGACGATGAATTCTTGCGCGGAATAAAAACGTAGTATGCGCCAAAACTGTTATATCCAAATATATCCAAAACTAAAAGGAATTACATAAAATGCCTAAACAAAGCCTTTACTCTTGTAAAAGTATAATTAATTATCAAATTTTTGTCGCAATAGGCATTACCATATCGAGTACAAAACGGAAAAATATTAGAATTAGAGGTTACTTCGTGATTTTTTTCTATCGAGGAAATGTTATTATTTCATGTTTTTGATCAATGTGAACCCTCGGAAATATCATGTAGTTATTCACACATTTTTATTTTAAGATTTGGTGCGGAATTTTTCATGTAAAATCAAAAATAAGATTGGTAATTTTGCTTTATACGCCCTCTTAATGGTGGTGTGGAAATTAATGAAAAGGTGCACTACACTTTGATTGAGAATCTTTACTCTATTTCCAGTCTACTTTATCCTAATTTCACTCCTTACTCTCCTCTCATTCTATGTCCTTACCGCAATAATCTATTGGAACACAATGTTTCAATCACAGGCGAAAGTTTTAGGCTTCCATTATGTTTGGCCTGTTGGTCTAGTGACCCTGACTGCTTAGTCAGATGTCGTGGGTTCGATTCTCACCCTGGACAAAGAATTGTGTGATGAGCTGAGTGTATTTATCTATAATATTTCATTCATTTAGAAATATATAAGTATGTTCATCATCACTCTGATTGCCATAGTACAGCCTGTGACTAGTTTGGAATCACATGGCCATCTGTGATTCATCATCAGCCTATCGCAGTCCACTGCTGGACATAGGCCTCTCCCATTGCATGCCATTTAGATCGATTTTGGGCTTCTCGCATCCAGCATTCTCGCATCCATTCATCCATCTGTGATTATGTATCAAGTTATTAAAAAATGATTTAATTACTCCTCTCGTCCATTCCAGTCACACCACACGTTCGTAATTAGGGTGTTTTTGTACTAGTTTGTGCCTTTATCTTTACAGTGCAAAAGTTTGGAGTAATGGTAGCAAAAACAGAAGCATCGATGACAGGGGGATTGGTTCAAGAGTATCAACATGCTGTTCTACCATCAGTTACTCCAACTGTGACATTCCTTTTAACCTTCGTAACAATGGTACCAGCACTTGTTAAATTATGGCATCTTGGCGCTGATAGTAGATATAGGGTATTAAGTTTTGTAAGGTAAGTGCTTCATACTTGTTTTTTAATATAACAGTAAATATATATTAAATTTGGAATACCCCCAACACCAGCATCAACCAGGGTTTGGATGCAGCATCTGAAGGCCAAGGAATTGGCCTTCTTGTCTAGGTTGCATATCATGGAAATGCCAATAAACTTACACTGTTGTAGGTATACACTGCATGTTTTCCGAATAAAATAAAATAAAGTAACAGTAGTCAATCAGACGCAATGGGAGAGGCTTATGTCCAGCAATGGACTGCAATAGCCTTATGATAAGTCAATAAGAGTGTGTAAGTTAGTGAGATTCTTTCATCAACTAAGAAATGAGCTAATAATCTTCACCAGTAATGGTTAAGAACCATCTCGACCAGCTTCAGCGTCAGCTTTCAGACAAAAATAAACGATCATAAATTGGTTCAATAGCTTAGGAGCTACAATGCCACAGACATATCATCATTCATCAACGACTATTATGAAACTATAAATAATACCTAAACACATACCTACTTATTTTATTTGACGCCATCGAAATACTCCCGATGTTAACTGGGTGATGTACTTGTCTTGGATGATAAGACTAACATGGCGCTGTTGATTTGCACCCAGAGTACCTGACTGAAGTTTCCGTTTGTTTATTCTAGCGAAATATAATAAGAAATATTTATTTTTACAGATGCCTTGCGGTTTGTGCGACTTGCTCATTTTTGTTCGGCTGGCATGTGCATGAGAAGGCCATTTTATTAATTTTGATTCCATTAAGGTAAGTAATATATTTTTTAAGTATTATATTTAAATTTAGTCCTAATAATAACATTTTCTGTCCGTTGCTGGTAACTGAGGCGCGGTATCAAGGCCGGGTATAATGTCGGACTGTACCCACTAAGTTTGAACCAGTTAAAAAACTTAAATTAGATTTTAATCTTTTTTTTTATAATGGTAAGATGAGATTATTTTATGTTTTAATTATTATCTGTAGTGCTTTCCCGTTTAAGTAACCGATTTTTATAAGATCAGTACAATAAAAAATATATTTTCTGTTTCAGCTTCTTGTCAGTGCTTGGCGACGTCGATGGAAGACAATTTCTAATCTTGACAACTGTAGGAAATTATTCGTTGTTTCCTCTGCTATTCCCAAAGAATTTATTATGTATAAAAATATTTATACTTTTAACCCACGTTGCAATATCGTTCGTGAACATTCCGACACTTTATGAGCCACAAGGGAAAATAAAGGGCGGTAGAAGACGGAGGGTGTTCCGCTTACCTATGTTAAGACATTCAGAGTCATTATATATCTATGGTCTAATAGTGTTGTGCGTCTATGAAAATGGTCTTCACGTAGTGTGGGGCTTAGATAAAACGTTGCCATTCTTACCATTGATGCTAACGTCAGTTTATTGTTCGATAGGAGTAATATATTTTTGGTTAAGTTATTATCACTATTTCTTAACGTTCAATGTTAGTAGGGTCCCTACTTTATGTACAGTTAATTTAGCACAAAAATACAAAAAGACTACATAATATTTACAGCTAAAGAAATTAGACTTAGTACCTACAACTATTCATTACACCTTAAGAACAATTTTGTAGTATAGTTTTTTAAACGTGATGTGAGAACATGATTTCATATTGTGTAGGTGATGAAACTGTACAAGTAACATGATATGTATGAAAGTCAAAATCGGTGATAAACTTCACAACCTGCTCGCTAGTCTCCCGGCCCGCCAGGCTCGGGAACAGGCCAGGTACCGCAGGCGATTCAGGCGCCGGACCCGGGCCTCCGCTTATGGAGGACCTCCGTCCTCCATAAGCGCAGGCCCGGGGGTGACAGGTGAGGCCATCTGTCACCCTAGCAGAAGTAGGCCGGGATGTCGCCCTTTCGGGAGTACAGAGGGAAGATGGGGGTTCCCACACAGGGGGGGTCGTCTACCCGCCGTAGATGGCCCGAGGTACGTCGGGGCACTAGGGATTTAGTTTCTAGGGTACACCTGGTTCCCCGACTACTGGTACCTGCGACGGCGTGCGGTTTTAGTCGGTTCGAGTCCGACACTGCCATAAGTGGTATCCGAGGGGATTTCCGCACAGAGAAAAAAGGGGGCTCTACAAAGAATAAACCACATACACACAATTACACCGTGTGGTGACGGATTAAGAATACAGAGTGTCACCACCCCTACTCACCCCGTGGGTGTCGTAAGAACCGACTAAGGGAGCAAACTACGCAGAACAACAGCACTGCAGAGAGAAGGAAAACTTGACACAAACCATATACCAACCCGTCTGGCCAGCGTCGCATAGTAGGCCAAATCCTCCTTTCTAAGGATAATAGGGTCGTTGACACCTTAGGCAAATTAGTTACTTTTATCATCTGTCAAAACGACAATTTCGTATATTTTGTATATAAAATGTACAATGACGCCACTATTTTAGACTACTCAATTGAAGAATATATTTCAATGTTTATTTGATTTAAATGTGTAATGAGTTTAAAAGCTAGAATATTATTTTTGCCGAGTTTTTTTGAGAATTTTGTTTTAATGATGCGGACATCATCATCAGCCTTTAACAGTCCACAAGCGGACATTGATATTTATCTATGATACAGTCAACTACCCTATTGTCTTGCAAGATGTTCTCTTTTTCTTTAAAGTAAAACTCTGTCCTTCTCACTACTCCCTTTCCAGCAGTATCCTCTTTTACACAGTCCAGCATTACAAAGTTCCATGTTTCGGAATTTCTTAAACGGAAATCTTTAGAAAATATGAAATTTCAAATAGTAAATATTTTACCAGTTGCAAAATTGTGTCATAGAAAAAAAGTAGTGGTTTTAAACAAGCCTTGTAATCCAATGGGCCTGGCAGCATTTTTTGCCCACGAAATTTATAGTGCAATGCTATAGGCTCGAAGAAGTTGGACTACTATACGGTATAAGACGGTCAAGTAAAATCAGTTCAAATAACTAATGTGGAGTTGTAAAATGATATGTTGTTCAGAGTTCCAGTTCAAGTCGAGTGTGGAAAACAGCTGAATTTAAAACCTGATTCCTATTAATCTTACGGTAATTTTTGCTACTTTTACAGGAGTTAAACCTCACATGGACATTCCAAACTTATTTATGTTTGAGTTAGACATTGTTTCTTTTAATGTGCTCTAAAATTTCTGTGAAGTGTGTTTTCTTGAAAATAGTTTTATTAAATATACATAGTAATCGTTATGTTATTTTGTAAAACGTTTATTGTTATTTATATTAATATTTCTAAGATTTGTTTGTTCTCTTTTTTTTTAATTAAGTAATAATTAAAATAAAGTTGTACAGTCGTTAATAAATTGTTTTTACTGACATCAGCGTTTTACTAGTCCCTCTGCATGAAAATTGAGATGTAATTAAATACCACGTACTTTATTTAGTAATCATAAGTTAAACAGCAACACTATTATCTAAAGCTAACATTACTGTAGATCGAAACTCAATACTACGTTTTTATGCGGAGTTAACTCAAATATCTGAAGTAACTTAAAGATTTACAACTGGATAAGTGGCATACGCTGAGGAATGGGCTGTTAGATCAGCACTACTGTATTATGTGGAACCTGGGCATTAAAAAATGTGCACAATTAAAACTTCAGATGATTAGAATGTGAAGTGTGCGTGATGTGTGCTTCCTAGTGGAAATGTGATGTGGGCTAGTATGTATTTTATTTAATTTTCCATTTTTTTATGTTTTACTTCACTTTTTTTTATATTCCATATTTTTTCTTTATCTTGTTTTCTCTTCATTGCCTTTTTACCTTTTAGTCCTTGAAACTTACATACTGGCACACATCAAAATAATGTTTTGTATATTTATTTATTTAATGATGCCATTATCATCTGTTGATTAAAAAGAGTGGCCGTCAGTTTTTTGCTCTTCCTTCTTATGAGGCTCAACCCCTTGGTAATTGTAGTTCGGCACAGGTAGGTATGTAAGAGATTTTCGATATGTATATATTTAGTTTGCTGAATATTTGACAAAACAGAGATTGTTCCTATTATGTGTGTTGATCTATGACTGAGTCTACACAAGAGACGATTTCAAATAATTTTAAAGATTATTTGAGTTTGAGTGTGTGTGGAAAAAGATATAACATAGTAGGTACAGGGATCTTCAATATGAATTTAGTAATAGTCAATGGTAGTCTAGGAGGCTGAGATGGTAGGTACGTTCATTTACCACGAAGAAAAGGGGAACAGGAAGGCACTTAAAACATCTGAATGCCAAATGTCGGGCTTCATCTGAAATATTTGGGTTTTAGCGAAGTCGTTGCACAAACACAGATGGTGTCTACAATTGAAAAAGCCATTACCGAGTAACGGGATGAGGCAAGACCAAAGAAGACCACATTACTTAATACTTTAATTTATTAATTCTACTAATCATTCTAAGACGTATGATGTGATTTAGATCAGAGTTCAGACTGCCTAAAACTTAATTCGTTATCCTCTTTTACAAAGATCAGTAGCTAAATGGAAGGAAATTTAGTAATTGCGTGCCGACCGCTTATGAATAGAATAGCATAATATCATGCAAACTATTTATTTATCTTTTATAATAAGGTGTCTTCTGTTTTTACATTAACCTTTCAATAACAAGTAAGCCACCATAAAGCCTTAAAACATTTTCAAATTATGCACGTAAATGCAAAAGAATAACGACGTCTTGTATTTGTCTAATACAAAACAAACTTGAAATGACACGTACAGCTGTTTACACAGAATAAAGAGAAGGCGTGCGTCGATCGCGGCATGAATATTCAAACGGGGCTAAAGACAGGCTTCGCGTCCTTTATTACACGCGCATTCGGCTTGAGGTGTGAAGCCAAGTGTTACACAGGAACATAACCTATAACCTAACATTTTAATTACAAAGAAGTAGGTACTCGAATAAACTATAGTGTTTACTTCGTCAGCCCATTCATTCGTATCCTACTTTCGTGTTGAATGCCTTACCCACGCTGTATTTACACTGCTCCTGGCTTTCTCTAGGGTGTAAGAAAATGTTATCCTATTTTATCAAGTATTGGAGGTAATCTCCGTAAGTAAGTAAATTAAAAGTAAGGACGTTTGGTTACCGGAGACCAAACACGCCCTCCCTCCTCAACGCACTTGTGGCTATTGAGTTGCAGGTGTTCAGGGGCTGTAGTAGTCACTTGCTATCAGGTAATTCGACTGTTCGTAACCGACTCGGTAATCGTTTGCCCTCTTTACATAAAAAAAGGAGAACTCCTCAAACAATAACCTACCTGCATAGGAAATATTTGGAAATATTTTGCAAAAGGTGATAATCAGTAGACATGCGGCAACTGTTATTTAGACAATTTAAAAACCGACCCACTTAAAAGAGAGAAACAATAAGGGCAAAATAAAAGAGAAAAGAAATTATAAATAACTCAAGACATTAATTAATAGTGTGTTAAAATTAAATGTGTAGTTGCATATTGAAAATCTTATGATACGCATTTATATAATCTCTGATAACACGTTTTCTACCACTAATATGACATACGTTGTAAATTCAATGTGTTTCATCTACGTGAAACTTCCGTTGCGACAACTGAAGATTTTCAAATGTAGAAGACGGTGAGGTTTTCAAATGTATCTAATGCCACTTGATGAATGGGGCACTTAAAATGCTCTGAATGACATCAATCTCTTCGTGTTCATACAATGCATTAAATGTTGTGGTAATGGACTCTAATGTAGCAGACCTCAAGCTACATGTAGACGAACATTCGAGAAATAACCGCTGTTCCTTTCTGTCCTGTTCCTTATTGTCTCTTGCAAATGAATTAAGAACTATGTAAGTCTAGGAGGCTGAGATTGTAGGTACGTTAGGTAAGGTAGCTATATACCTAGTATATTTTTCGTACATAAAAAAACTGTTCTACCTCTCATTCACTTTCTTTAAAAACAGAACAATGTATACACGATTTTGTATTTTTTATTTGGATTCTTTTGAGAATAATTTGCTTTCCTTTAAAAAAGAGCAATTTATAAAATAAACAAAGAATATTTCCTTGTTTTTGTATAATAATTATTTGGTACAAAGCCAGCCACATGCCGCGTTATTTTGGAAAAAATACTAAGGTATTAATTAAAACAATTTATTGTTTTATAGCTCAAGGGATCCCCAACGTAGAAGTTCTGCGTTAACCAAAAACGGCAACTTTTGGAGTAGTTACCCTTCAAGAAAAGAAAAAAATAGTATTTCCACTTGTGTACTTTGTTACTACTTTTATCTTTAATGCCTTATATAGTAGTAGTACATATTGAATTACCTAGACTAGACTCTACTTTTATGGGCTGGTCGGAGAGGCATTTGAAGAAAAGGGTAGGTTTTTTGTTATTTTTCTTTGTTATAAAAAGACAACGCCCGCATTAGGAATATATCCTGTGTCGCGGGGGATTTTACATACACACATGAAACGGACACAACGGACACCCAGACTCAGAACAACAATTTTTGGATCCTACAAAGTGTTGGGGATCAAACCCATATCACTCGGCGCAGTAGAAAGCGGCGAGATGACCGCTTAAACCATAACGTCATCGGGGCAGTCAGAGTAGGAGTTGTGCAATGGCTAAAATACAATTGTAAAGCGTATCAGTTATGGATGGGTCGATAATAGAAAACTGTACAACATATTTAATCTTTAGATACGTACCCTTTTTTCTTTTCTTTTTTTTCTGTGCGGTAATCCCCTCGGATACCATAAAAATCGCACGCCGTCTCGCCTACCAGTAGCCGGAGAAAAAGGTGTACCCTAGAAAAGAAATCCCTCGTACCCCGACGTACCTAGGGGCATCTACGGCGGGTAGATGACCCCCTCCTGTGCCTCCTGTGTCATCTACCCCCCATGTTCCCTTGGTGCTCCCAAAAGGGAACGCGCGCTCCGCAGCGCGTCTCGCCGCCACCCCGGCCAAGCAGGCCGGGGTGGCTGCTAGGGTGACAGACGGCCTCACCTGTTACCCCCAGGTTCTAAACCTCTCCCGGTTCCGCTCCGCCATCTCTTTCGCAAGCATAACTTGCTCGCAGAAGGAGACGGCGGAGTTCCACGCACTCTCGCGCTCCATACCATGGCGGCAATCTTACTACCGAGCGAGAGGACTCCCACTCCGATGGCAACCACGAGGGTCACGCCTCTGCTCCACCCAGGCCGGGCATTCTGCCAATGTGTGGAGGGCCGTGTCCACGGCTATCGCAGTGGTGGTACTCAGGCGTTGAATCTCTGAAACAACCTTTTCCGATGATCACCTGCGTCAGCCGGTAAAGAGGGTTCCGTGACGCCTCTCGAGCCATCTTCCATGGACCGCACAACCCCCGAGTAGAGTCTCCTGCAGGAGTCATCGGGTCCCCTCATGTTGGGCAGCAGGCGCGCCAATGCACGAGCTGCTCCAACCAACTTGGGGACCGGACCTCGGAAATGATGTAGATACGTACCCTATCTTGAATATCTTTAACAAAAAAAAAATTGTTAGAGGGACACACCAGCAGATGTCATTTTTGAAATATTATTAAATAACGAACCTTCTAAATGTTATTATTATTTATTATCTGTACATAACATAATTGAAATTTCCTTGCGGGAGAGATTTCGTTATTTTGATATACAGGTGAATATTCTTTCAGGGATGGGACAGGGAAATCTGAATAATAAACGAAGCTACATCTCAGAAATTTGTATATGAAAAAAAAAAGGTAAATTTTAATATACTTAAATAAATTACGTAATGAGCTCCTAAATAAACACTAAAATTCCCAAATATTCATTGCTTTAATAATAATCAACCAGTAAATCTGAATATTTTTCCCGTTCACACGTGAACAGATAGGTAAAGTTATTCGTAATAGGTTCAATCGCTCGAATCGTTGAATTGGAAGTTTGAAAATAAAAGTGAAATGGAGCGGAAGGAGTTGTTCATTCATATTGGGGAATCAACGCTTTGTTATTCTGCTACTTAACTGCCGTACTGTTAGTTATTACAATAAAACCAATAGCTTTGTTTTTAATAA